CCCATGATTGAAAGATATAGGGAAGCCTTCAATCAGCAGTGGATTGATGAAGGGCTATGCATAAAATGCAACACATTTAATGATAGCTGTGGACATGTAGGTGTAGTATATCTTAGGAAAAAATAAACTCCGTGCTCTCGCCCGGTAAAATCGAGGACCAGTGAGCGAAATGAAGATATGAACTGCCCTGTAGCATTTTCTCCGCAGAAGGTTATACCCTGACAGTGCGGCGCTGGAAATATTAATCATCAGCAGGAAATATTAATCAAGGGATGTTGGTATTAATTTAAAGCTGTATTGTATCTTTACAAATTTGGTTTTGACACCGGCACATAACATCTTGGGATATTTTAAGTGCACCCAAATTAGCTGATGGCTCGCTCGTTTGCCAGAATTAGCGCAGCATGCCATTAGGTTTTGCAACTTAATGCGCATATTTTTGATTCGTATCGAAATATTGAATTTTCTTCAAGGTGCTTCCTACAATTGAACAAAGCACTGTGCTTGCACATGTTCGGGGAATCATACGTTAATTTGTATTCCAGAAAGTTTGACACCAAACATTGCCTCTGCATTTTTATTTATATAAAAACTCACGATGGTGGATTTTTGTATCATGCCGCCTCTAAAGGTGTGAGTGCGATGCGTGTGAAACTCAATTCCATTAATGCAGACGTTGCGTTAATGCCGCTCGTTAAAAAGTGGCCCCAGCTTCGCAAGCCTGGCCGAATTTACGGCGCTTAGGGTGCCTAATTAAGATCATTTACGAGCAGGGATTGTGCTCTGAAATTACCGCAAAGCAGCGCTGAAATTTGACGCGAAAAATGTTTTAAAAATACGCAAATAATTCCTGTTTAATGTTTTAAATGTTGCGTCCAGGTTCGCGCATGTGCTTGCTCCAAATGTTCGAATACCAATGTCATGAAATTAATTTCAAATTCATCCAGGATAAATGTAATTCCACACCTGGATCACAAAGGATATATTTTACCCGCTCGCCCCACAGGCAAAAAGTCGAAAAATGTCCTTTTGAGCGTGAGTGACTGTGTGTGTGCGTGTGCCTAAAGGACAGCCTGTTGTAACAGACATTTTTAAAGGTTAAGTCTATGCTGTATAAGCTAAATTAAAGCCAAGCAATCTGATTCAGATACATCCAGCAAAGCTGGGCAGCTCCCGTTCAAACACGCTCGTGCAAACACGCCAGTGGCAGATGATGAGCTCCGCAGGCATGGTCTGCAATGCCAATGACGCAGCCACCCCCCCCCCTCCGCACTTCACTCCCCTCCGCGGGTAATGCAACGCTCCACTCGCTCACACCAACCCCCCTGCGCCTGCCACCCGTGGTTAATGGTACGCTCCGGACACGACTCTCAACCAGCTCACGGTGGCGGGGGGAGGGGGTTGCTGCTTGCGGCACGTGCGCAAGTGAATTATTATGCAAAGGATGGCCCTGGGTTTCCTTCATCACCACCATCATCATCAGCAGCAGCAGCCGCAGCCCTGACCAATCCATTGCTGGATGAAGGCCGTCCCAAGCCGTCGCCGTATCTCACGATCGTCCGATTGCACGAGGACACCGAGCAACTGCGCACGAGCTGATTTCCTCGCTCCACCTCCCCGGAATCACATCCTCTCCTGTGCGATGAGACTCACGGTGCAGGCCGTGCCAAGGGGATGGTTATGTGTTTTTATTAAATCGGGTGTAAGAGGGACTTTCCGCGGGGCCACGGAATGGAGGTAGGGACCCTTGGCCAGGATTGAGGCCCATCGCGCTGTGTGTGTTGGGTGTCGGGGTAGGTCTCGTTGAATGTTCGCCAGTCCCAGCCGGTGATGTCGGGCCATCACTGCGTTAGAATGAGTGGCAGAGGGGGGGGGGGATATAATTAAGGGTTAATGCTCGGTCGTACTCCTGAATGTTACGTCATGGCTCGTGATTATCAACCCACGATTTATTAGATTGTTCCGTTTCAAAACGTGGGATGAGTTCAAGGAAGCAGCCTCACGTCCGATTATATATTTTGTAATCGCATATTCCGATGGATTCATTAATTAAAACTGAAATAAGACATACGCCTTGTGAAACGCTGTTGGATTAAAAAATAAGTCCTCAATTTAGGCGGAAACAACATGGAATTTGTATAAGAGAATTGCCTGTACTGTAGAATAACATTTTTTTAATAGCTTGCCTTAAAGTATTTCTTTAACAGGAAGTCTGATATGATTTACCGCCACCCGCACCGCTTTAATCTGGATTTACTTAGGGGTTTTTTTTGGCATGTGTTATGAGTGCACTTGAACTCGGGCGAGAGACTGCGTTTGAAACAACCCGAGCCTCCATTTTAATTGGTTGCACTCAGAGGGAGGATGTAGGGAGGATGCCTGGCAGGTGGAAAGACGCTCACCCCACGTCCCAGTCGCCCACACCACCCCCCCCCCCCTTGGGAATTCTGGTTAAAAGGGGTGAAATTTAACAGAAGCCGGAGGGGCGGGGAAAGAATTGTTATTGCCTTATCTATCTACTCATAGTCTCAGCAACCAGAGATTAATGAGCACTGCATTTTTTTAAACTAAAAAATTATTGGTGTTAGAGGAGAGATGGGGGGGGGGGGAAGCAGGTGGGGGGGGAGCAGGTGGGGGGGGCAGGTGGGGGGGGCAGGTGGGGGGGGGCAGGTGGGGGGGGCAGGTGGGGGGGGCAGGTGGGGGGGCAGGTGGGGGGGCAGGTGGGGGGGACATGTGGGGGGGGCAGGTGGGGTGGGCAGGTGGGGGGTAGGTGGGGGGGCAGGTGGGAAGGGCAGGTGGGGGGGCAGGTGGGGGGCAGGTAGGGGGGCAGGTGGGAAGGGCAGGTGGGGGGGCAGGTGGGGGGCAGGTAGGGGGGCAGGTGGGGGGGGGCAGGTGGGGGGGTAGGTGGGGGGCAGGTGGGAGGGGCAGGTGGGGGGGCAGGTGGGGGGCAGGTGGGGGGGCAGGTGGGGGGGGCAGGTGGGGGGGGCAGGTTGGGGGGGCAGGTTGGGGGGGGGGCTTCGCGACACGCTCGTGTGATATCAATGTTACCGGACCTGTTCAGATGATTAAATGCACGAAATAATTCTCCCTCTGGAGCTGAATTAGCAAGATAGGTGATGTAACAGTCACGCGCACGCACGCGCGTCCGTTTTTGTCGTGCAGGCCTTTGCTTTTCTGCCCCAACCGCGTGTGTCTCTGCAGCCTTGGCTTTGTTCGCTTGTTCTCAGCCAAGTCTTCTTATTCTTTAAAATAAATAAATAACGCCGCCTTCCTTATTAAAGGAAGGCGTTTCCTCTCAACTTTAAAGCCACGATAACAGAATACACCTCTTTGATTTATTCCACCGCCGGCATTACGCGGTACATGCTCTCACACGAAACTAACTTCCCTGTTACACCTCCCTTACCAAACTGCAATGCCAAATACAACGTTCTCTTTGCCTCCACAGCAGGGCCGTATTATCCAATAGCCAGAGTAGGCACTGTGCCTCGGGCCTACGAAAACTAATTTTGACCACGTTTTTTTTTGTTTGATGATTAAACATTTTTTAACCAAGATTTATTCTTCAATACATTTATTCACATAACAAGGATAGGCACAGTGTATATACAAAGACGCAGAGTCAATCGGTTTTATTTGTTATACAATTAACACCGGAGATTAATTATTCGAGATATTTTCATTGCAAAATTAGCAATAACATCTTCGAATGGGGCTTTTCGCACCATCTCATTCTCAAGTGACCAGTGCAAGGGTCTTAACATGGGGTAAGCAGTAGTATCAACTGCAGAAAGTTATGACTGATGGCACACGAAGCAGAAGTACCTAGGGCCTCCAAGAAGAACCTTAATCCAAGAACCTTAATCCGGTCCTGCTCCACGGCCTGGTGTAAATAAAGTGCAGTTCATGGGTCACCTACTGAGGCCATCATGGCATACAAGCGTGCGTCTCGTGGCTCACAACGCCCAGCCACGTCCCTCGTCCCATTGTGAACGGTTAAGCCAAGGCACTCGCGACCCCGTCTGGTGCTTACTGGCGGGGTGAGCGATCGTGTAGTGACCGACAACAACCGCGCAACGATTTACACTGGTCCTGGGGTCTCGCCAAGGTCGGCGCAGCCTTAAATGAGTACCTGGTGTGGTGAGTAAACGCCAGCACTGGGGAGACAAAGGCGACCGGGTGTTGTGTTGGCTACCCACCTCCTCGTGTGCTCGCAAACAGCAATTGCCACGGCAGTCTGTTTCAGAATATACATTGTCTTTGCGTGCTGAAGTTCACTGTGCGTGGTGACGCAGTCGTTATCACAGTGTGCTGCGAACCATTGCGTGCTTGTGTTACGCTCAGCCAACCTAGTGGAGTCACAGACCAGTTGCATTCATCACTTGTTAACAGGGCATATTACGCCTATAATGATTGCCCCTGACCCCGAGGTTTGATGATATGTCATAATCCAGTGTTGCAATTTGATTCAGAATCCATTTTTTTCTATAGTTTGGTGAATAGAGCAACTTCTGGTGACCACAGGGGTCACGAAACCTCATTACACGCACGAGACGCAGATTCTAAAACATTGTCAATTCTCTCGTACGTGCGATTCAATGCACGTGCCATGGTACTCGTTTCAGGCTCTGTCAACCGAGTGGAGGGCCAGAACCTGCTCTGCTATCACGTGCCACTGATGGTCGGGAATTGAGTGTCAATTGCTGGATTCATAGCCACTGCACCACTGTTCCTCCCTTAGTATGATCAGCAAAAGACGAGGATCCCCACAGATGGCTGACACGGGCTGTTGGAGCAAGTCTCGTAAAGCGAGCACGTTTTTGAGGCCGGCACGGCACGCGAGGAGGGTGGCGTGTCCATCGCCGCATCTCTGGCCACCTTCGTCGCCCCAGTGCTGATGTTAATGCTCCGCACCGGGTACTAATTTGAGGCTGAGTCGACCTAGGGGAGGCCCAGGACCGGTTCAGATAATCGTCACCGGTGTTGGCCGTGAGCGGGAATCGAACTGGGGTGCGGGGTTCGAAGTGCAGTGTAGCGCTAACCACTACACTGCCGTTCCCCTCAACACACAACACACACACAGGCACACGAGTGTATATGTACGTATTTGCATTCATAATTACACAAATAACAGACAACAGGCGGATTTTCACCGTTTTGTGAGAGAAAGGAAAAATACATGCCATTCAAGATTATCCCGAGCGACTGTGCGAATCAATGTGACTGCATGAGATACACCTAATGCTAACTTCAATCCGCCGGTTAATTCATACAGTCTATTAACTCATTTAGCAACACCTGCTAAATCCATTGTTGCTTTGAAGAACCCACCCATTTCCCCCAAACGGAGAATAACTCTGATCAATCATTGCACAGCTCCCCCTTGCACAGCAAATGACAAAGGAATATGACCATCAAGCCCCACTTGTGTGTGACGATTGTGCGTGGAGCGGTGGCTGGAGCGGTTAGCGCACTGCGCTCCGAAGTCTAACAGCCGGAGTTCGATTCCCGCTCATGGTCAACATCAATGGTGAATATCAAATGTGGTCCTGAGGCTCCCCTAGGTCTATTCAGCCGTAAATAAGTTGTGCATGTGCAAACATCGCCATTGGGGATGCAACGGTTGGTGAGGCGTGGTGCTGATCACACCACCCCGTCATGTGCTATGATGCCCTTCATAGGGGGTTGCTAACAGGACTTTCCACAATAGTCTGTTAAGGCTATAGGGGGGATCTGTATCTTTGTGTATTTGTGTGTGCACAGTCGTTGGCACTCTGTGCTACGAACCCAGTGACCTGAGTTTAGTTGCTGACCACTGCTTACCGCACTGGTGAGTGATATCCGAATCGGTCCTGGGCCCCTCCTAGGTGCACTAGTGCTGGCCACACCACCCTCTCATTCACCGGAGACATCTTGATAGATGCTCACTTACAACACTTGTCCCAACACTAGCTGCACAGAAGATGTGCTCATGAATTACTTGTTGGTGACCTGGATTTGGTTTCTGGCCATGGATAACATCATTGGAAGGTGGTATATTAACCGGTCACTGGGCCTCCTTTGGTTAGTTTGGGGCGCCGTGGTGGCGAGATCGTAACTTATTTGAAATTTGCATGTCTCTCTCCCTGTGGTCGCGTGGATTTATTTCCGGGCCCTCCGGGTTTCCCCTCCACATTTAGCATCAACATTCACGCGTTTAGAGTACTCGGCCGCTGTACATTTCCAGTTGATGAGTCGCCTTGTCAAGCTATCATCTAAAAAAGAGCTCGAGAGCTGGGCCTTACCCAATCATATAAAATATACGTTACAGGCTTAAACAAGTACCTGGTGCATGTACAACATCAGCGCTGGGGAGACAAAGGCAGGTGGGTGTGATATTTGCCCCGGCCCACCTTATTATGCACTGTGCAGGCATTCATAAGCTGCTCATTAATAGCACTTGCACCAGCAGTCTGTCAGGCTAGGTGATTTAATCTGTTTATTTGCCTGGCCTTCTGAGACGAATGCCTGGAGAATAAAATGTTGGGTGGGTTTCTCAAAAATCTATGGGCCTGTATCTTGCCTGGGACTCTCAGAATGAAGTGTTTTGCCTGAGACCGCTGCTAATGATTCAGGGACACGAAGGAATGCTCGTCTAAATTCACTGCGCACACGGGTGCACACCTCCCTGATGTGCTTTCACGGTGTGCCGCGTGGTGTTTGGCTTGATGTCCGACGTTTCGCTGCATGTGCTGGAAGCTCTTTCAGCAGCTGCAGGATCTCCCAGCAGGTGGAGTGACATGTCGGACATCATGCCGAATGACACGCGGCACAACCATTGGAGCCCATCGGAGAGCTACGCAGCACAACCTCCAGCGTAGTTTGTGCGTACACACCGTATTCCCTTAACATCACGCCGAGCCTCTTTGCTGTTAACAATAGTGCCGCACAAACATATCAATTGACGAATATCCCATGGGCACACGGGCATCTATTCATTAATTACTGGTGTGTAAACAAGCAGAAATGCATTCTATTCATTCATTAATGTCGTATGGATCTTCAACCAACCACTATGCATTAATTAACGCTGTGCAAACGCACGACATGCAGGACGTTCTTAATTAATTTATACTACTTACACACACACATGCTCATTAATGCTGTGTGGGTGTACAGAACAAATATCAATTAATGCTCCGTAGACATACAAACAAATATGATCTCACTGCTGTGATTGGAAAATGCAAACAATCGTGAATTAAACAAGATGTTATGCACACAATGCCCCACTCAATGCGATTGGCCAAAATCCACACTGAGCTTTAGCTTCGACTTTGAGATGCGCCACCACGGCCACACTTAAGTGCAAGTGTAAAATTTTAGCCACACTTGTGTGTGCGCAGAGGTCAATATATATATTTTTACCGATTTTTTTGACAGCCCGGAATTTAAGTGCTGTTATTGGGCTTCTTGGCACGCACTATTCGGAGCCACTGTCAATCCTCGCCGGCTCGGCACAAGCACCTATTGTCCGCCTCCCGAGAGGCCAGGGCGTGCGGAGGCGGTGGTACTCTCGGCGCCTCCCTGCAATAAGCGAGGGGTCTCGCTCGCGGAAAAAAAAAATAGAGAGAGAAAAAAAAAGCATCGTTGCCTTCACCGAGAAAGTGGGTCACGGTTCTTACCGCGTGAACTACGGAACCCCCCCCAGAATGATCGGTCGTGTTGTGACATCGGACTTCCTGCCGAGAGGAACTGCGACTAAAATGTGCTACGCTCTTAGCGGCTGCCGGCATTATTATTATTTTGACCGACGTAGCAAAGGTTTGCTCGTGATCGGCCGGATGTGTGCGCGTGTCAGAGCACCGATGCAGCTCTGCTAAGGTCCTGTGTATAATAATCATAATAATAATAATCATCATCATCAAACAATTCTGACGTACAACGTGCACGGAATTCCTGCAGCGAGTCGCTGGCACCAGTCAGACGTGCGGAAATCCACAACTTCTGCACATAATTAAAATAAGGTTCTCGTCTGGCATCATTCAAATGGCCTTAGCCTGGTCATCGTTGCCTAAAAAAACAAAATCATGATTTATTTTTACATGCCAATATGAGGATCTATTCAGCGGCTTGCTCAACGAGAAATTCACCGACGTCTCCGCACAGCTGAAGGCCACGGTTTGGCACATTTCTTGCGACCAATAGCTCCTGCGATCAATTTTCATCGTTTAACATCTTATATTGTTCCACGGCGCAGTCCTGGACTTCACACTACGTCGCCACCTGCTCACTCGTCATAAAAGAAAAAAAATCCGTTTACTTACCAAGATGCTAATCCAGCACAGACGACTATGCCGCTGCCAATATCTCGTGCGGTATCGAGCGTAATATCCCGAAACATCAACGTGGATGAAACGAAACAAAGTAAAATATTGTTTTCCCATTCAAATTAAGCATAGGGACATCTTTCGACGCCTGTGGTAGACGCGTGTATATATATATAAAGCATATACAGCCCTGAGCCAGTGGTGGATAGTCCATATTCCTGTGGTGCAGGTAATGGTCCTTAGACAAGGCAATAACTATTGACACAAAGCGATTCGCATCTTTCAAACCGTGTAGGGATTAAGGGCTGAGTCCACCCCCAACCAGAATTTGAACACACAACTTTGCAAGTTATCTGCCATGTACTTTCCCATTGTGTAGCCCAAATGGATATATCATGATTTTAGCCATAGTTCACCACACTTATCAGAGCATATTCGTTAAGTGGCGTGGAGTGGGGTGGGGGGGGGGCAGAGGGCAGGACCATCTAAGGTATCACTCACCACCCGTGTTAGCTATGGCCGGGAATGAAACTCGGGCTTTCCGGATTATCGCGAAAAGTCTGTATACAAACTACAATAATGGCAACAGTCGATTATTAACGATAATTTTTACACACCCGCTTCGCCGTGGCCAGCCACCTTCGGGCAGAAGGGGTCCCAGATATTCCGCAAACGACAAGCCCGAGGCTAAGCGCCCACAGGGCAGGGGAGAGATTGAAGGTGGTTGGGCTCACTGCCCTACACACGTAGGGGGCAACACTCGGGAACGTGGCGTTTTTATGGGAGGGCGAGACGAGGGGAAGGGGGGCAGGGGCGGTGGGGTAGGGGGGAGGCCCACACCTGCGAGCCCCGCCGCACGCGAAACAGCGAATTCGCTCAACGGAAGCCCTCTACCCGAGCCAGAGCCTTACTCAGTCGAGCACTTCGCATTCAAAATGCCGAAACACATTAATTGGCTGCCAAAGCACTTGGCACGTGCGCCGGCACGACGCGGCCGTCGTGTTCGAGGCGTCGTCGGGAGAGACGGCGGCGGCGGCGGCGGCGGCGGTGACCGCGCTCGGCATGCGCGGTCGCGGATCCCAATAATGGGCGCCTTTGATAGGCGGCGTTGGGGAAAAGGAGGCGATTGAGGAATAAGAGAAGCTTCGCACTCCGAAGGTCCCTGCTGTGGGTGTTAGAGCGTGCTGCGCTGGCTTTGCTCGGGTGTGGGGGGCAACGCGTGTGTGTGTCGAGGGGTGAAACATTTTGGCGGTGTTGCACAGACGCGAATAAATATCGATGACCACATTCATCATTGAGGCTGCCTTAAAATGGAAACATTGACAGTAAGCTATAATAATATATTATCAGCATCGGCCATGATATTGCCACTGCTGCATGAAGGCCTCCCAGTGCTTTTGCCATGTCTCGTGCTTTTGAGATGTGACGATGTGTCCAGCGCATGTGAACAATTTTATTTCATTCATCTCCACGGCGGACATCCACTCAGGCGAATCTCTTTCCTTCAGTTGCCACTCCATCCCTAGCCTCGACCTCTGGCCATGATCCCTTTCAGTGATGTGTCCTGCTCAAGCCTAATTACCTTTATTGGGCGTCAATATAATTTGTCTAATTTGCAATGTAGTCGGTAGGGAAATTGCCCTCTGCAATGAAAAAGCATTGAAAAAAACATCAGCCTTCATCAGCTCACAATGAAAGTGTTTTCTACATATGTTTTACTCAATATATGTATATCTTTATTTCAATTATACAACACAAGATGCCGACTGCCCAAAGCAGAAGGCTATAATTATTCTTAATACTACGCTTGTTTACCAAAGGAAGCCTTATCGAGTTTCAACACTCTTTTTCAGGACTACATGCAGCTTTGCAGCTGCGTGTAATTCCAGTAGAGTAATTTTCTACAGGTACATTTTCAGTTATTTGGGTCTTTCGGTAAAGCCACGTAGATAGAAAAAAATAAAAATATCACGACGTTGTTTTTTCACCTGATGACGATTGCTTGTGTTGCGATCGAAACGTCGTGATATTGTTATATTTATTTTATTTGCTTTTATATCTACGTGGCTTTACCGAAAGACCCAAAGAATATGAATTCCTGCAGTCACGAAAGCTTTAGGTCAAGATGTACATTTTCAGCATGAGGATGTTTGGCCAATGCCAGTTGCATCGTTATTTTTTTCAGCGATGGGAGAAAACTGAGAAAGGAGCCGGAGGAAACCCAAAGTAGACAGAGGGAGAGCATACAACTCCACATAGAAAGGTGCCCAAGTTGGGGATCGAACCCTTCCTGCTGTGAGGCACACGTGTGACCACCGCTTTAGAAAATAAACCTATACAAGGAGGAAAGCCGACACCGCAGGGCACATCCTCCTGACATGCTGATGTGACCGCCGATATTGATTCAATAAAAAGAAAACGTAAACTCATGAATATTATCCGAATTACGTGTAGAACCAGATGAAACGTGATGATATTTGTGCGTGTGCGTGAAGTCATTGGTGACCGGAATGAGACCATCTACTCACAATACTTGAGAACCCAGTTTAATTACAGGCGGCTCCTTGGATGTGAATTTGAACCCAGGCCCTCAGCAGCGCCAGCTGAGCACTATGGCCTCTGAGTGAGCTGGTCACCTCTGTCCAATTCCTTTTCCACGAGCGTCTTGCATGTGGGAGGAAAGCGGAGAAAGAGGGGATAACCAAAGATTAGGCACAGACGGTTCACGAACCCATTTCCTGCGCGTGAATTTCCTGGCTACAGCACTTCTCTGTATGTTTGAAAGTTTCACAAATTTGCATAATCCACCATCTCGGTCCTCCAAATCGCTATATTACAGGCGTGCGCCACCACACCTGGTTATGCTAATTTTATCGAATATGTTTAAACGGGCACTGACAGAAGTTAAAATATATAATTCCACTCATAATTAAACCAGAAACTTTAAAATTAGCTTTTGTTCTTTCAAATAAGTCCATTATTTTATCTTAGAGCAAGGTTCAAATTGTGTCTTAATATTTGAGCATTATCACTTTAAAGGATCTGTTGGATCAGGCTCTATTTTGGGAAGGCAGAGACTCCAATTTCAGGTGACATGATCGGGAGATTAATTAAATTCAATGCAGAGGTATTTTGTCACTAGAGCTGTCTGCCCATAAAGCTGCATTAATTTAATGCAGTGAAACTTACGGCAAAGAGATAACAACTGAAACTTTCCCCACATTCATTTGTTAGACACGTGTATACGATAGTACAAAGACAGAGATCCTCCATACAGCTCGTATAGACTATTGGGCCAACTAGCACCACACCCACAGTGCTGAGGTTTACAGACCACACGAACTACTCATTTGAGGCTGATTCCGACCTGGGGGAGGCCCAGAATCAATTCGTACAATCTCCGCTGACGTGAGACGTGGCCAGGGATCTAACTCGGCTCACCGATGCCCTAGCCACAGCTCATACCCCACACACAGTAAACACTGATGGCACGCGTGATTTGTCGCAGGGCTGCGTTCATCGTTCACTCGTGGTGAATGGCACAGTAAAAAAAAATCAAATAAAAAAACCTCGTTATTGTGTGCACATTTAAACGATTTCCTTAAAGGACTGGCCATTGCTCAGGTGACAGCGTTACAGCACCAGGGAGACCATCGGAAGCGCCCAGCGTCTTTATAACACCACTCTACCGCGTGTGTGTACGCACGCGCTCGTGTGTGTGTGTCTTTGTGTGCGCAGGTCAATCTGATTTGCCTCCCATCCCGTGGAGAGCGTCTCCCAGACGACTACACTATGATCTTGACCGGGTACGGCATGGACAGTGAGTATACTGATCTTCACATTGAACCCCGAAAAGGGAAAATAGCAAAGGTGGATGGAAATCAATGTTGATAGTGGTCCATTGGTTCTTGAAATGCTCTATAAACCCTGGGACCTGAGTTTGAGTCCAGGCCTTGGTTAATATGTATGAGTGATGAGCGAAGTCTGAGTCGGTCCTGGGCTCCCCTTCACCCAACCACACTGACTAGCACAGTGAAGTATGGTAAAAGTATGGTTAAAGTATGGTAAAACAACACCCATGAGTGACATCACACGCACGGGGAGCCATTGATTCAGTCGTTGACAAATGTTGATTTTTGTTTATATTGTTTCTATTGACCCACACAAAGTGAAAATAATAAACATGGAAAGCAAATATTGATAGACATATATATACCGGCTAACCCAGGGTTAGTTTATAAATTTAGTTTTAACTGAATTGGATTGTCATTATGGATTTCCTAGGTACTATCGCTGGGTATATTAGGCCACAAAACAATCCGCTGTGAAACTTGACATTTCATTTCATTGGGTTTATGTCCTGCATAACTTGGTTAAATGAGCTCAATTTACTCAGCTAAATGGAACCCTGTTGCACATAAACAGTATCAAATAAATGGAATCTCATGCAATAGATTGCACGCCATTATAGAACAGTATTTCAATTTACATGGAAGAGTTCTCCATTTTTCTACTTATTTTTTTAATTTCCAATTTTACATTCATGCTTTTCCTTCGCCCACCGCCACTACGCCTCCCCCCCCCCTTCCCCCGATTGCTTTCACTTTTTTTCAATGTTTTGCTCAACATCAACATGTCTGCTTTCTTCAATCACTGCGTACCGATTTCAGCCCTTTCCACAGGGAGCCGTGCAGATTATTAATGAGCCACGGCGCGACCGTCAAGAGTTGCGAGAGGGGCCTGGTACGCGTCCGCCCGACGCTGATAATCCACACACACACAAAGCAGCATTAAAGCAGAGTGCAGGGCCCAACTAGACCACCGCATAAGAGTCCTCGGTGCCAACCCTCTCTCATTGCGCCGAGCTGCACTACCACCCATCTGCAGTCACCTCAATTAGGCCATTGGCATTCATCCCGTAAACACTGCCGACGGGAGCTTTGAGCAGGGGCTTGCGGTGCGGTGGCTTCGTAAGCGGATGCCTGCAAAGGTTGGCAGAATGTGAGGCGCGCGCATCAACGCGGTGTTTGGCAAAGTCGCCACGGTACCTCCTGTCGGGTGAGGAACCCCGTGATGGAGGTGGGTGGGTGGGTGTGGGGGGGTGTGTGTGTGTGGGGGGGGTGAACATGCTCCAGGGAGGTGATTAGCCATTGTAGGCTCTGCCTGGTTTTTTTTTATCTTTTCTGTAACACACATCGCAGGTGCACGCCATATCTCTCATGGATACTGCACCCCACCCCCCAACCTCCTTTTTCATCAAGCCGTAAGGTATTAACAACATCATCAATGATCATGTGCCCTCTGTAGGTACGATAGTCACCGTTCTGTTGCTGTGTGCGACTATTGTATGAAATGGCCCTGGGCCTCCCCTAGGTCGACTCGGCCTCAAAATGTGTACTTAGTGTGGTGTGTAAAAACATCGCCATTGCTGAGACAAAGGCGGTTGGGCGTGGTGCTGACCACCCAACCCCCTTGTGTTGTATAATTGAAATCGTGCCAGCCTTCATAGGTGATCGCTAGCAGCTCTTGCCCCAACAGTCTGTTGAGGCTATACATGGGGGGGGGGGGGTCTTTGTGTGTGCGGTTACGAGACCATTGAGACAACATGACCACTCACGAACGACATAAAGCGGCGACAACTCCCGTGTGAAATAAATACCGAGATGGGTGGCGGCTAATGAAGAAACCCCGAGGTGGAACAGCCGCGCCGGTGGTTGTGCGATTTGCACTGTGATCCCGGCGGCCTTTAGTTCGATATTAAACAAATGATTCGGTGATGCTCATGGTGCCCAAGAAAGAAAAGAAAAAAGCTACTCATTTGTCAATAACACTGCGTGGCCTTTAAAAAGGAAACATATAATAGGTGACGTTTCAGGCAATGGCCCTTCTTCATGGCACATTCTCCAACGCATATCGTCCCTGTTTCTGTGAAAAAGGGGCCATTTCTGCTACAGTGTCATTGAGTTTTGAGTTCGATAACGGACCACCGCTAACGTCAATGATGAATGAGTCAAACGACACTCATGGCTGTCAAAGTCTGCAGGGGAGGATTTCATCCGTCCAGCATTGTGGATTGACAAAGGGCTGTAAATTGAGTGGTGAAAATTCTAACGAGTTATATAATCGCGTGCCAGTCATGTGAGTTCTGTTTTTATTTTAATCACACTTCATCACGCTCAGTTGGTATGTGTCAGTGACGTGGAGGGCATCAGCAGTTGCGATAGCGCTTTGCCACTGATGTTAGCCGCGGCCAGGAATCGAAGTCTCGCTCGCCGGGTTCGGAGCGCAGCGCGCGAGACCGCTCTTCTACCACTCCACCCCTCTTAAAAACCATACCCTTAGAGCATGCCGATCTCAGCCATACATGTGCATGAATATTCAAGGACTGCTCCAGGGGGGAAATATTACGTAACAATGATATATTATGTATACACATATCCCCGCATAATTGAAACTTCGCAAAACCATTAACACAACGACCGCGATTCCATAGGCGGGAGTACAAAAGAGAGATGATTTTGTTGCACCATTTTTTTTTTACTGCCGTTAGAAGCATGCGGCCCACGATCGTACGGAGACCCTCGAACGTCTTTTGTCCCGAGCACTCAGCACCTCTGCAGAGTTTAATTGCGTGAGCTTTCATTTTTTTTGTTACGGAAAAATACCTCCTGGAATAAAACATCTCTCGACCCGATTCGCTGTTTATATTTTTTTTTAACTCACTCCCAGCTCAGAAATTGAAATAAATTAAACCTGGACCTTTGGTGGGCATGCGAGGAGCTCGACACAAAGTGGCATATAATGACATAACGTAATGAAAAAGCCTATTAACGTTTCGTTTGCCCTCTGCCGAGTTGGAGGTCTACAGGGTCTTTTTCAGTCATTTAATCAAACAGAACCATTAAACGTTGACCTCGTGTTCCCTGTTATAATTAAAAGGAGCGGGGGGCGGGGTTAGTGGAATAAAACATTTCAATTGAGAGCACATTCATTTTTCAGTTTTCGATTGATGCAGTGGGGGGGGGGGGGGGGGATAAGCTCTACTTTCAAGTACTTCACAAAAGCCACATAGAGCGACCATTGATTTGCGGGTAAGGGAGCTAATGAGAGAGAGCGAGAGAGTGATGGTGAGGAGGAAGGGGGGGGGGGGGGAGAGCGGAGGGGAAAGAATAGGAGGTGTGTGGCGCAACAGTGGAAAGGATGTGCATCTGGGCGCATTGTGTTCTTTGTGTCGTTGATAAACAAGCAAAACAAAAGCGGTCAAAAGCCAAAGAGCCGGATTTAAACCGTCACGCGCAATTAGAATGTCCGAAAATATTTCGGACAGAATTGCAAGTGTGACCTTTTCGTCGTTCACGCAACGCTGCATGCGCCGTGCGGTTCATCGCGGGACACAAATGCAATTATTATGAGGTTATGGTAAGTGTGTGTCATGCACACGCTGCAGGCAGAGGGCCTCCGAATCTGCGAACGAATTTATCTTTCCCTCCCAATGCTGCACTGGGACAGGTGAAATCACTCAGGCTTTGCACAATTGTCGCTCTACCACATGTGTACGCATATATGTCGAACTTCTTTCGCAACGTGCGTAGCCAACCGTGCTAATCAGAGGTGCAATTTGCCAATGGATTGTAATATTGTCTGGGGTGGAGCGGTGGGACAGTGGTCAGCGCATTGCACTCTGAATCTGGCGACCCGAGTTCGTCAGTGGCGAGTGGTATCTGACCTGTTTCTCAACACTCCCTTTCACCAACGCGCACTGACCAGTGTGGTGAAATATGGTCAAAGTACCCCCCATAACCATCAGGATATGGGGACACTTTTGTCCAGGGTGGAAAAAGGGCTGATAATTATGGTAATGTGTTTCATTGTAATTCAACCATAGGTTGGTTAAAGAAAGGGAAGTAATATTTTAACCACCCTTGATAAACCCTATCATGGGGCTTTCTGGAATGAAAACGTTTTCACTTCAACGGAAGGATTGACCCAATGAGATGCTTAGACGCACCTTTGTCACCGAACCCAAAACCACCTCTTCACATACCACATGATATGGTTCACTTTCCTCACTCATAACTCACCACCCTCTGTCATATTTAAATCAATCATCGGCCCGTATGGGACAGGCTGCTCCCTCAGCCACCCAAACCTGCTTGCTATCGCCTCCTTTTCTTGCTCAAGAGGTACACGGTGGCGCACTCCAGTCGCCCAAACAACCACTCCCCGCCCCAACGAAGTGATGTGGTTACACTGTTTGGAGAACGACGTTTTGTCCGTTGTCTGTCATCATCTTCGTCATCATCATCAGCAGCAGATGCAGCATCAGCCGTGATCAATCCACGACAAGATGAAGGCATCCCCGATCATTTACCATCCCTCCTGGTCCCTCCATGTACTTCTCCACCAGCCATCCCTGGCGGATGAGCTTCCCACCTCTGGGCTCGTCATCTCAAATGACCAACTTCCCTTTGAGTGACGTCTCCTGCTCATGCCCATCTCTTTTTAAAAACAACATTTTTATTTATTCGCGGTCAAAGTCGATGTCTCCAACTTGCATTTGTTCTCTAAATTAATGTGCCCCTCGTCAATGTCTCTCAGCACGAATATAAACGTCTCCGCGGAAATATAAACACAAAGCAGACCTAAAACACGGTAGGACCAACACCTCGGCCGTGACAGATCACTGTTATAATTCAATAGGCTCACATGACATTGACTTCTCCAAGACAGAGGTTATTTGCAAGCCATCTGGCTACCATGAGAGATTCGTTCATAAGGCTATCCACATATACAAACGCATGAGACAATTTCAACCGAGAAGATGGATTCTGGCTTAGCAATCATTGGAAGGATTCGATAAACCATTTCGGGTCTTAATTGATTGTTCACGCTCATAGGCAGAGCCAGGGGGGGTGACAGGGGTGACATTCTGCGTATAAGTGTACGACACTCGGTCTGGCGGACTCCGTGCAACTGCATTGTCAGAGTGTGTCGCCAACCGATGGCGTCTAGTTCAACAGCCTGACTCTCTTAATCATACTTGAAATTAACATTTGTTGAATGTCACCCCGGCCTGAAATCCTGGCTCCGCCCCTGTTCATGCTTACGGTGGCTTTCAGACTGCATCCATTATTTTCGTCTCCCCCCTCCTCTTTTCCGAACATAGATGGACTCGTCCATCTGAATAACTGCCAAATCGCTCTCCGTGGTGCTAAAGTAAAAGAAACCCGCCACTTTTTTCAAAATTTCTTGCTGTGGTTTTCACACCTGATGATTGCTTGTGTTCCAGTCGAAACGTCGTGAGAATTTTATTGTTTGATGTTTGTATTATTTTATTGTTTCCCTTCTACGTGACTTTACCGAAAGAACCAAGAATATGAATCCCTGCAGTCACGAAAGCTTTAAATCAAACGTCTCTGGGAAAGTTGACTTTCATCACTCCGTCTCCTCAGTAGATGTCATCTCGGTATCTCTCCACCGGTTGCATTTTCGTCATCTCTGAATTTACCAAAAATAAAACAATCCATGTAAAGGATATCACGCGTCCTGCTATTATTAGTTCGCAGTCCAAAAATATACACGTTAGAAAAAACCGAACAGAAGTAACGACGCCTGTCGGTCATTAACGCACGAGCGATGCCCTTTCTCCCGTAGGTGCGACGGGCGTGCCTCCTGCCCTGAAGCAGGCGCGGATGAAGCACATCTCGCTGGATCGCTGCCTCGGTTTGCTCGGTTCAAACGTCCGCGCCAACGGGGGACACATCTGCGCCGGCTACATGGAGGGGGGAGCAGACGCATGCAACGTGCGTCATCGCTCGGCCGGGAATCGCGACCGACGCATCTCCGCACACTCCTGCCGAACGCTGCCACCACCATCATCATCGTCGTCGTCGTCATCATCATCGTCGTCCTCATCATCATCTTCGTCATCATCATCAGCGTCATCGTTGTCATCATCGTCGTCGCCACTATAACCTTCTCCAGCACCGACCGCCTCCGCGCACTCCGTCGCTAACGCACGCCGCTCTTGGCGGTGCTTTGCGCACATTCTAAGCTGCGCCATTAGTACGTTTCTATATTTAACTGTCACCTCCAAAATTCACATTGTAGCACGCCGCCTGGGGTGGTGGGGGCGCAGCCCTTTTGCCTCGGCAAATTTACGGCGAATCATGCGGAGATTTTTGAACCTTAAAAAAAAACCCCGCTTTGGGTTTTGAGATGGACCGGCGATGGCAGTACAGCAAATAGGTTGTGAATCCGTATGTGAGAACCTTCAACTATTATCCCCTCCTATGCATGAGTATTCTCTGGGTATTCCATTGTACCGCCACAGACAAAAGAATGTTTTTGATTGGAATTGGCTAAACATCCCAATTCATGATCCTCCTGAAAATGAGAAAGGAAACGCAATGAGGCTTTGCAGGATTAGTGAGCTATTATCTTCTCCGTAATGTCCTGCCCTTGATCAATCCACTGGTTGATGAAGGCCCCCATGCCTTTTAGTAATGGGGCCATTTGACCATACTTCATCGTGATGGTCAGTGCAGTTTGGTTTAGATATCGCTCGCGCCAGATGTCAGTTGTGACCGGCAATTGAACACAGGTCATCGGGTTCACAGCACATCTTGCTAACCACTGCTCCACCGCTCCATAATGCTATAAGGCTATGACCGTAATGTTATTGGTTTCTTTACACCGCCACTACCATCACCACAAGACAAATACAAAGATCCCCCATATAGCCTTTAAACGACTACTGGGCATGTGCTGTCAGCGAGCACCTATGAAGGCTGGCAAGACACACGAGGGGGTGGGTAGCCAACACGACGCCCGGCCACCTTTGTCTCCCCAATCACGATGTCTACCTAGGGGAGGCCCACAACTGATTCAGATAATTGTCACTCGTGTTGGCCGCGAGGGGGAATCGAACTCGGGTCGCCGGGTCTGTAGCGCAGCGCGCTAACAGCGACTATCTCACTCCCCACCACCAGAACAACCACAACCACAACCACAATCTTCATCTCCACCGTCACCCACACAACCGCAACCACGTCAGTAAATGAATAATGTGCATTTTAGCATTGCTGTAGCAGATATGCCCCTGAATGTGCTTCCCTCCACGCCAGACAGGCACAAAGGCTTCAAGAACATAGCCCTCTCATTTTGCGCCATGCGTCACCGTCGTGCGGAGCCCGGCTGATTGCACCTAACCAGGGGCTTTCATTATTGAATAGACGAGAGACAAAAAAAAGCAACACCTCCACACGCACGCAAGCACGCACCCACACACACACACATATTTTATATATCTGAAATTCATCCATATGTCAAGTATTGCCTTCCATTTCTTTTTCAATTTATTTTACTTGGTCGATTCCACTCGAGAATACCGTGATCCCCCCCCCCCCCCCCTCTGCCGCGTCGCACCCCCAACCCCCTTCACATTCAGGCGGGCGCCGGGAGACACTAAATCCATCACCCGCGGCTGAGACACGGTTTGGGTCCCAACTCTTTAAAGCGCCACGGTTCGGTCCAGTCACATGCCGAGCTGGCTACACTTCTATACTTTTTAACGGCTGCCATGGTGAGCGCAGGTGCCTGGGCATCAATTCAGTCGAAGCAATCTCTTTACTTAGAATCAGGAGTGAGCCCCGTGGAGATGCAAGCAGTGCCTTTTTTGTGGAAGGCGAAACGTGCAGCGCGCAGCACCGCGGCGGATACAATGGTAGCTCGGAAGAGTTGAGTGCGGCGTCTATTAAAGGGGCATTGCTTGACAGTTGGGCGCCTCAAGGTTAACAAAATGATTAGTTTAGATCCCCCACCTCTCCTGAGAAATTATCTGACAGTTATGGCATTGTTATTGATTAGCATACTATATATATTTTTGTTGTTGTGTGTGTCGCATTTGGTGCATTCTTCATACGGGCGCCCACGCCGGTGCTTGTCGCTCACCGTTTGGTTCTTAAACAAACTAAACCTGTTCGCGGTTCCGCTCATTCTCAGCTCTCTGTCTCTTTACCAACACGATTCGAGTGAAAACCATTTCACGCTCTCAAACGACTTTCCACACTCGAGCTCCACACTGAGCGGCGGTGTGCGGTGAAGAATGTGGTCCAGACGTTGGGTTCAATCTGCGACGTGCGTCTTATATATGTATGTGTTTGACACCTCCAGGTGATGCCAACAGAGATGATCAGCGCCCGATCCACAGAATTGTTTAAAACATTTTTTTAGTAATTACCGTCCCTGCAATTATTATAAACATGGTGGTAAAGATTTGCGGACGGCCAAGACGTTGCAAGAGACGGCAACGATCATCCGCATCTGAGCATCCGAGCTCAGAGATGGCGTGGCCATGTATTGTCAATGACAATGCATTATTCCCCTGTGCCCCAGCGAGGGCTGAAGGAATGTATGGTTTACATGTTTTTTTTTGGTAATGTAGTAAATTGCGTGCAATAATTACATTTGTTGCAAATGGACCGGGTCATCAGATCGATGGCCTCTTCTCCTGAATGGTGTCAAATGGTAATGAGTTTTTAATAGGAAAGCCGTGGAATTAACGCATGAAGGTAAAACGCGAACCATCATGACCTCTCTGGAAAGGAGTCCGTCGACTGCCAGGATGCATCCAGCCTGACAAAACGCCTCCTCGCATTTACCGCGGCTGTCACTTTCCACCGAAGATATCGCTTCGACATTCTATTATTTCTGAGCCTATTTGTACCCCCCCCCCCCCGCCCGCCCCGCTCCCCACGTTTCACAAAAGGGTGACTCGGGGGGACCTCTGGTGGCGCCCCGTGGCGACAAGTGGGCCCTGTTCGGCCTGGTGAGCTGGGGCATGGCGTGCGGCACGGCTCCGGGCGTCTACACCGAGGTGAGCTGTGCCACCACGGTGACCCCACAGGTGACTCGGGGGTCGCGAGCGTCGCAGCGCATTAATAATTCTTGTGCCGCTCCACGGACTCTGACCCTGAGGCTGCTGGTCGGGGCAGCCTCATCGCGGGCGTGCACCGCGAGCCCATCAACCGGTTCGTTGCTCTTAAGGCGGGGGGGTGGTGGTGGTGGTGGTGGCGACCGGCGTGGGCCACTCTGATTGTGATTGTCACTTGCTTCGAGCCGTGACGCCCACGCACGCGGGCTTAGGTGTGGAGTCCCCCCCCCCCCCCCCCCCCCGAGGTCGGCCGTGCGAGGCCAAGGCACTTTCAACACGACGCTTGAGTCTAGGGTCATCACCTCTGCTCGAGCACAAAAAAAAAATCTGGGACATTGTGCGAGAGAGAGAATATTGTACAACGCCAGCATGTAAACGCATTGTATTTGAGTGGTGTGTATTATTATTATTATTATTGTTGTTAATATTATTTGACAGAACCGACAAAAAATTGGACTTTTAATGTTCCGGGAAGACTTATAGGTTTTCCAGGATGGGTACATCAAAAAGACAACAATCCGGGAAAGCAGGACACGTGGCAGCCGTACTTGTACCGTGCAGTGCTGGCTAAACGCGCGTGGCACTCACCTCGTGTTTGCGCACTGGCGAGCGATGTTCGCAATGCTTTTGGTAATTTCCTGCCCATTTCCATGTTTTGTACTCTAAATAAGTCATTGACGTTTCCACTTCCAGGGCGCGTTATTTGACGCTGAAGGTGCATTATAGTTGCAACGGCTGTGGTGGTAATGATTTACGTGGGTCACTCTCCACACTTCCATTCCTTTCTTAAGCTTTTGCCCCTTGCAGTTTTCTATTAACTCAGTGTCGTTGACACGCATGCCACTGTCTGACATGAATGATTTGATTAGTTTTCCTATACTTTGCACTCCTATCGTTTTTTTATTGTTGTAACTTTCTGACCCGCCCCTCCCCCCCCCGCATCTGTCTACCCGGCAAGTATAGGTTTGGTGCAATACCGTCGATTAGGCACGTCGTGTGGGGTGAGTAGGCAAAAGTACCCTCACCAGATTCTTCCAGGCGAAATAATAATTCTGATTCCGCATTCAGAAACTCCAACCTGAAAGAACGCTTGAGAACAACATTGTAAATGCAACACTTTAACGTTCAGCGATTTGGCAATTAAGGAGATAGATTCCCAATGGTTTATTTCAATAATATACACGCTTTTATTCGCCCCCATGTTTATCAGCGTACCACATTAAGAATGTGTATGAATTTTTATTTCCTACACAATGAAATAAATTATCATCAATGATTCATTATACACCAAAACGCCAGCATCTCTAACCTTGCCAGTACATTCATGTGTGTCCATAATCGAGTGACATCCACAAAGTAACGACTCGTGTATATATATAACTTGACTGAAATGATGGCAAAGTTTAGGAAATCGTTGTTGGAAATGTCAAAAACATTCATCTATTTTTAAACACGGTCCCATTGCTTTTCCCTGCACTTGCATCAACGCAGGACCAGGGCCAGCGTTTGATCACAGGGGAGGAATTCGTCAGTGCCACGGTAACAATATGATTGTGGGATCCTGTAGTGCGGTGTCATTTTCAAAATGCTGCCAGTGTAGGCCATCCTTGAAGGGGCCGAAGCGGTAAAACTCTGAGGGGGGGGGGGGGGGTGCCCATTTCCTGGCTGTCCAACGGTGCCTGATGACGTTCTCCCACCCGTGCTCCTCTCAGTCGTTGGCAAGGTCGAGCGTTGTAATGTTTTGCGGGAGGGATTCTGCCACCTGACAACGTACGTATGGGAAAGGAAAAACAATCCACCTCTTGCCCGATGCTGATAAATTCACGAGCTCGCAGAACGGCAGAGCGTCTTCGATGTCACGCGTGTGCATGTTGAACCTCTTCGGTGTCACGCGTGTGCATGTTGAACCTCGTCGGTGTCACGCGTGTGCATGTTGAACCTCGTCGGTGTCACACGTGTGCATGTTGAACCTCGTCGGTGTCACGCATGTGCATGTTGAACCTCGTCGGTGTCACGTATGTGCATGTTGAACCTCGTTGGTGTCACGTGTGTGCATGTTGAACCTCGTCGGTGTCACACGTGTGCATGTTGAACCTCGTCGGTGTCACGCATGTGCATGTTGAACCTCGTCGGTGTCACACGTGTGCATGTTGAACCTCGTTGGTGTCATGCGTGTGCATGTTGAACCTCTTTGGTGTCACGTGTGTGCATCTTGAACCTCGTCGGTGTCACGCGTGTGCATGTTGAACCTCGTCGGTGTCACACGTGTGCATGTTGAACCTCGTCGGTGTCACGCATGTGCATGTTGAACCTCGTCGGTGTCACGTGTGTGCATGTTGAACCTCGTCGGTGTCACGTGTGTGCATGTTGAACCTCGTCGGTGTCACACGTGTGCATGTTGAACCTCGTCGGTGTCACGCATGTGCATGTTGAACCTCGTCGGTGTCACACGTGTGCATGTTGAACCTCGTTGGTGTCATGCGTGTGCATGTTGAACCTCTTTGGTGTCACGTGTGTGCATGTTGAACCTCGTCGGTGTCACGTGTGTGCATGTTGAACCTCGTCGGTGTCACACGTGTGCATGTTGAACCTCGTCGGTGTCACGCATGTGCATGTTGAACCTCGTCGGTGTCACACGTGTGCATGTTGAACCTCGTTGGTGTCACGCGTGTGCATGTTGAACCTCTTTGGTGTCACGTGTGTGCATGTTGAACCTCGTCGGTGTCACACGTGTGCATGTTGAACCTCGTCGGTGTCACACGTGTGCATGTTGAACCTCGTTGGTGTCACGTGTGTGCATGTTGAACCTCTTCGGTGTCACGCGTGTGCATGTTGAACTTCGTCGGTGTCACACGTGTGCATGTTGAACCTCGTCGGTGTCACACGTGTGCATGTTGAACCTCTTCCGCACACCGTACGTAGCCAACCGTGCTCATCGGAGGTGCGGGTCGGGAAAGACCACGCACCGCACGCTAAAATCAGCTCTAAAGAAAGGAGTGTTCAACAAAGAATGAGTTTTAAATTCATAAAACGTTCATCACGGACCCTCATTACGTCCGTGTATTTCCCATAAGTGAACATCTAATGTTTTTTTGTTATATCGGTTCAATAAAAAAAGTTGTTTTACGAACAAAAATGGGGGCGGGGGGGTGGAGGGGGGCTTATTTGGGGGGGGGGTATTCCCTGTAAAAGACAGCTCCACTCTCGACCGCATTGCAACGCCACTGCTGTGCAGGTTGGAGTGAGAGCTCAAAGCCTGGCCCTTCAGGGACACGACTGGGCTACCTGCAGGCGATATCGACGGCAGAACCAATTTAGGGGCAGCATTACCGCAGCACCGAGTCACGCGAGCTATCCTGTCTGACCAGAGAGCACCAAAAATCGCAAAAAAAACTTTTGGCACGAGTATAAATATCCTTCCGGGTTTTTTTTTGTTGGTCGTTGTTACTTTAATCATCAGTATTGTTCATTCGCTAACAAGACAGAGAAGGGGGGGGGGGGGGCGGGGGGGATGCGAGTAATGAGTATTACTGTGTACCAGCTGAAACTTAACTTATCCTCAAAGCAATGTTCTGATACTAATGAGGCACACAGCATGCAGCGGCGGCGGAGTCCGTGTCCGGGGAGGACGCTCACGAGAGTGGCAAAGCGCGGGGTACAGGGGGCGCATGACGACCCCCCTTTGTTAGGGCTCCTTGCTTTTAGCGAACGTTCATGAATCGTGACTAATCTGAGATTTGAATGAACATGTTGGTTTTCAACTGAGCGTTTATACACTTGCGTTACGTGCTCATGAGCCTTGAGTTCTCTATTCGGGCACAATGTGGCGTTGCTGGGGGCTGGAGGGCTGGGAGGCTGGGATAGCGCTCTGTGCATGCGGAGAAATTTATCGCGCTCACGCAGACTGGAATAACCCGTAAAACCGAACGAGTCAATTAACCAATTCAATAATCGTCGGCGGTTAATTAGAAATTAAATATAGAATACAACATAATCAAATTCCCACTGCCCCCCCCCACCCACCCCCATTGCACATTCGTTAAGGGCCCTGCATGATAATAATAATAAAATAACTAACACCTTAATGGCTTCATTTTCATATGCGCCAAAGAAATGCCAATCACCGCACACAGCGGCTCCACGACCTGGCTACTCGTGGCACCACAGCCGCAGCGAGTGACGTCGCGCCGTCTGCAGCCCCTCGCAGGCGTCTCCCACTCACTCCGCCTCGCCTCTGGGGAGTGATTGACCCCTCCGTGATTGCGGAGGCCGCAGAGTTCAGAGTGCTGCAGGTCGTTTCCCCCAGCCGTGCGACGCGATCCGGTTGGAGGATGTCTCTCCCTCTCTTTCTCCCTCACACTCTCTGTATCTCTCTGGCAACGCGGCGCTCGCCTTTGGGTGCGCTTGTGCGGCCGTCTGGAACGCTCTTCCATCCGATATTAGCAAGCCACTGGAGCTATGGCACTTTTAAATCATCATCCAGTTCGAAAACTCATTTCGTTAGAATAGCTTTTTGTGTGTGTGTAGTCCTTCCGCCGAACCCCCCAATTCGCACGGTTGGCTGCGAAAACATTTCACCGTACACACATAGCGCGTGCACATTTGTATTCACGTTGGTGTGTACGCATTAAAATAAAAACGTCTCGTTAAATTTTTTACATATTTCTTCTTCTTCACCCTTTCTTTTCTCGCAAGGACATCCATGTCAAAGTGCCCCAGCAATCTCCGATTCTAATTCAATCCGACGAGCGAAGGTCACATCTTGCGTGGAGCAGCACATCGTCGTCTTAGCTATACGGCGGCGGCAGTGGCGAAACGCGAGCAATTTTCACGACGCCGAGTTATCACGCGCAAAGGTGACCCAACGGACAAAAAAAAACGGCGCCATAAACACCGAGGTCGCTTCGCGTCACTTGTCACCGTGACAAGAGGGTTTGCGCGGTCGACCTCGGCTTCCCTAGCACTCTCGAGGCCTCGTCGCTCTCTGGACCCGCTACTCAGACGGTGTGTGGCGTTTGCTGTAGTCACAGCGGTGCGATTGTGGCCATGCGATCCAATTCTTCGGATCGCATGGTAAGCCACCGTAGTCTGCGCTTCTTCAACAGAGGACTGGCAAAACTGCACGGACTCTCTCTCCTGAAGCCCTCTCGTGGCCCGCAGACCTCAAAATTGCCTTTTAGCTCCTGAACGTGTTGCCATGTGCAAGAAAACAATTGAAATCCCCGAGGCAACCCAGAGATAAACCCTCTTCCCTCGCTTAAGGGGAAGTGTGCAGAAGTGATTTGCGTGGCCTAGGCCAAATCACCCTGAATGCGCCCAGTTTAATTTGAGCCTGCTTAGTGCTTAGATGTGGACTCTGCCCAGAAATACCAGCTGTAGATGGCTTCGGCTGCTAGGTTGCACATGATATGGCAGTGCAGTAAACAATTTAATCTATCTGTGTAGAGCTTTAAATGTGTTAGGTCTCTCATATGTGCTTCTTTGTTCTCCGTGGAGTGTGTTCTCCTCCCACATGAAGCCAAATGCTAATTCGTGGAAATGGTGAAATATCCCATGGCAGGTGCCCTGGAAAAGAGAGCTGAGACTCAGTGAGGTTTTCCTGGATGAATAAATGGCGTTTTATATATTATAGTGTAACACATGGAAAAAGATTAAAAGTTTACAAAAATATCCGCCACCGATTGCTCAGACCTTTCACATTACACCCAGCCTGGGCTAAAATACTGCACGTGAGCAAGACAACTGTGCCCTGCACGCGTGTTTTCATTGGTAAAGGCTGTGCCGACACAAGGGTGAATGGGGCACAAGGTCAAATATGTGAGAACCACTGTCTTACAATGTTGAGAGCTCACAAGGAACATGTTCCCCCACCGCCTCCCCCTCCCCCAGATATAATTGATGATGGTCAGCAACTGACGAACAAAAAAAAACATCTCCCAGATAACCTGACATGCTGTACGCCCGTATAAAAATTGGGCTTGGTCTCTTCGTGGTTTTATTTGGTGTAAGCGTCTGCTGTCGTAATGAAAAATTAATGCATAGGTCGATGTGAACCTGTCGATACATTTACCATTGTACACACACCCGCCAGCACGTCTGCCCTTTATACAAAGACTCCACGACCTAAACAAATAACAGAAAAAGCTCCTGAAAGGTTTTGTACCAGCAGGCAGCAGCTGAATACGATGTCAGTTAATAAAAAAAACAGGTAATAGAATTATCAAGGCCATAACAGTTTGTATTTCCACTATCCAACAATACTAAACTTTCAAGGCCGATAGGTATGTAATGTAAATATCTGTTTACAACCATCAAAAACTGTCATTGAAAAACACCTTCAGATTGCATTGTGGTGGGATCAAGTTCGCCTACACACATACGCATCTGCATGTGGGGCAGCCTGGCACCTAACCTTCAGGCAAATAAATAATGGATCTACCCCTTCAATCGAGTTCAATGCATGTCTGCTGATAAAAGCGGAAGGGCCGAAAGGTTTTGGGTGAGCAGAGTAAAAAGTTCAAAGGAAAGTGATTAACTTTTTAAGCAATTATTGCGAACCTTTTTGCGTGGCGAGGGTGGGATCACAGATGCAGACACCAACTTAGTCTTGGGTAAAATGTGCGTTCCCTCTGCGGGTCAGATCTCGCACTACACCGACTGGATCCGAGAGAAGATGGGCAGCGACTGGAACGATGCTGTCCTCTGCAACCCTTGGCTTGGCCTCTGAGCAGGCTGGGCGAGACGGGACGGCGCCATCCAGGATGATCACTCCGCAACGACATCAATAATCTCTCATCGTGGATGGAAGCAATACAGTTGTGTGGTGTCCAGGCCACGGATTGTTTTCTTTCGCACGTTTTGTGCCGTGTCATGTCGCGCTAAATGAGCAATTGGTAATGGTTTCGTTCAGTGTGCTGGCTCTTGTGCAGGCCTGCCCGTGTCTGATCAGTGGCTATTATGCAAAAGTGAAACGCGCCACTTTCTTTTCTTGTCTGAGTTATACGGTGGCAAATACTGCGCGTAAAATAATGTTTTTTGAAAAAAATTCGGGAAGACCAAAATTCTTTATGAGTTACCTGCTGTGTGGTGAGTCTAGGCTGATGCATTGTCAAAGTTGGCTGGCTTAACCCTGAAGCAATAACACATGTTTTTTGTAGCCTCTGTCTTTGTCTATTGAGATGTGCATTACCACAAACTGCATTATCTGCAATTGTAGCTATTCCATGCGTTGTTTTTGGATTGTACTGAGCGCTGTTTGGTACAATGTCCGACGTTTTCGCTTATTCGGGAACTGCATTCATTTTCTGAATTTAGTTCTTGAATTCATAAGCTCCCAGCATGTGGAGCGAAACGTCAAACCTCGTGCTGAACACACATGGTGCCATCTGACAAACACATCTGAGAGCTAAAACTGCGAAAATGTACACAGTTGTATGTGCAATTGTTGACAACTGCAAAGCCAAACTTATCGTAATTGTCCTTTCTATTTCAAAACAATCGTCCGCATTAATTATCAAAGCTTCAACTGTGCTTCAAGTTAGATATATAATGAGTGTTTTCTTTTTTTAATAGTGGGGTGATTAAGGCTTTAAAATAAATAATTTATCTCTTAACAGCAGCTGCAGGGCATGTCCTTCCAGAGCATGGAGGCATTAAACCATGCTGTTTATTGTTGCATGTTCAACATTTGAAGAGTGTGAGATAGGGTTTTTCAGAGAGTACACCCAAAAGTCCAACCGACATTTGGAGCAAAAACAAGATCCTTTCAGTAATGCCCTTCTGTCGTAAAACAAATAACAAATGTAAAAAAGAAAACCCTACGTTAAAATATCAGCTTAAGAAAGAAAATCGGCCAATATTTAGGAACCTGCCCCAAATGGACACCTAATGTGCAACATTAAAACATCAGGAATGATGGAATTAAATCACGATGATGAATTTTGCAGTGTTTTTTTTCTTTCTCCTGTGCATGCTTTGTCACACAGGCACACGGTATCAGTGGCGTACATCACAGTGTAGATAATGGGCCTTGCAGCTATTTGTGCTCATTAAATGAAACCCTCATCAAATTAGACGCGAAACAAAATAACGCGACCAAGAAAATGCAACCCTTATCGAAATCTTGCGGGACACAGCGTGACGGGATGTGCTTTTAAAATGTGCATTTTCCTGGATCGCTGCCATTTTTTTTCAAAGCCTGTGGATCTCGCTCATTAAAATTTAATATCCTCATCCTTGCAACAAAAAAAATAAAAAGCGGTCTGGTCCCTATAGCTGTTTGTTTGAAGGCTGTGCTTGGCAGTATCCTTGGGATTTTATGGCGATGCGTGGTGTTACTGTGATCATCATCAAGATGCACGGCGCGTCCACAATTTAATTTCCGGTGCCTCTTCCTGCACGTATTCCAACATGTGCACCGCTCGCAAGACATCCGTTTACATCTTCTTAAGCGCCCCGCACATCAAGCCTATGCAAAAGCAGCCTCAACTCACACGTGACCTTACGTCAATTAGCAAATTCATGAATGGGAGGGAAGAGCGTTGCATTAGCCCTCCGATGTGTCTTCATCTTGTACCATGTGTTCGGCACGATGGCCGATATTTCGTGCTGGGAGGACTGAAGCAGAACTGCAGAAACCTACGTAGCAGTATAGTGTTGTTGTACTGTTCTTATATACTGTACTTGACGGGTCCTTCTGCGGTAGCGCATTGACCCCACTCCAAGATGTCTACGAGTTGTCATGCATAGAAGCCTGAGGTTGAAACCCCACCAAAAAACAGATCTGTGAACCAAAAAAAAAATGAAGTATCGCCCTGCTACAGAAACTTGAAATAATGGCCTAGCATGCCTTAGTTGAGGGGTCCCCAACCCCCGGGCCATGGACCGGCACCGGTCCATGGCCTGTTAAGAACCGGGCCGCACAGCAGGAGGTGAGAGCGGTGAATCCGCGCGTGGCCCGCCCCCATTATTTTATAATTTACCACTTCCGTCTTTCCCGCACTGCGCACTTGTCTCAGTCACAGTGTTGGTAAGTCCACAAGCTAACCCCTAGTAGCCAAAATGAGTAAAAAACAAACGTCGCTGGAGAGCTTCTTTGAAAATGGGGAAAGACCCAATGATGGCCCCCCCCCCCCCCCCCCCCCGGCTCGTGAAAAAAATTGTCTTCCACGAAACCGGTCCCTGATGCCAGAAAGGTTGATGTGCTCCAAACCGCCACCTTATCACTAATTTGCTCAGTGGCGGAGTATTGCACTCCATTCTGGTCTAGGAGCTCGTACAACATACTGTTACATCCACAATTAAATGAATCAATGCCCGCATAACTGGAATGCTGAAGCCGACAGCAATCCCTTGGCTCCCGGGTCTGGCATGAAAAGTGCAAGGGAATTTACAGGTTTTCTTGCCAACGACAACCTTCCCATGAACTAAGATCTCAGCAATGTACCTCGCCACCGACTCAAGTCCCAATCCCTCTCCTGGAATCGCGCTATCACCATCCTAGATCTTCACCCAGATATGAACAAAGTGTAACAATGCAGACGTACAGAATAAACACATCACACCTCCCTCCCTGCCTTTGACATTCATCGAAGACACTGATGATGTAACCAATCAATCGCATTAAAATATCAACAGGCCAATGCGCACGTCTCCTTCATGAATCAAAAAGGAAAGACAAGCCACAGGTGCGAATGTGGCCATACAATCCAAAAACGTAAAGCGAAGTTTCGTAAATTGGAATGGCTTTTCCCATTAATTTAATGCAAAAATAAGGGATGTGTTTTGGACAGTCATTAATATTTACACCTATATCACTTTTCACAATACACAAATAATAATAAAGAACATGAATATTAAAACGATTGAATAATAGTAAATTTAAAACAAAATTAACTTTTTTGAAGGAATTAACTAAACGATCTGCTGCATGTTGGAATGACTGGACAGGTGACCTGGAGGCGTCACTGTTGCACTGTCGGGACACCGTGACGCTGTTGCAGATGGTAACACGAAATTTTGCTAAAACCAAATATTCGTAAAATCGAGGGATACCTTCAGCCAACGCTGTCAACGGAGGAGTAGCAAACTACACTTTCTGCTAAAGCCCTCTCGTCATGGCTAGCAGACCTCGACATTGGCATTTAGCTCTTGAACATATTGTCATACGCAAGAATCGAAGAGAGGTTTTTTTTTTTGTTTTTACGTATGTACGTTGATCTTCTTTCGCACCGTACGTAGCTAACTGTGCTTATCGGAGGTTTGGATGAAGGACAACAAACTAAACACAAAAAGCAATTCTAAAGAAATGAGTTTGCAGTCTATATCTCAAAGTGCATAGCTCCAGTGGCTTCCTAATATCAGAAGGGAGAGCGTTCTATGCGGTCGCAGAAGCGCATCTGAAAGCGCGCGATGAGTTGACCGTCGATGGTCAGCCAAAATCAGCTGCGAGAACGACTGGAGTTCGCATGATGGATAACGCTCCCTGTCTACCTGCACACTGCCCAGCGTTTTGAAGTGCGGTCAAACAACCCCCACGGCGCGCTGGAAGCTCTCGTCCAGCAGTGGATTGACAAAAGGGCCGTGCATGTGTGCGTAAGAGTAAAACGCGGCAATGTCTCGTCTGGTTCAAGTCTTTTTTTCTTGTATGAGGGATGTCACATTTGTCACAACAACAATGATGTTATTTGTCATATGAAAGAATGTATCTGACATTTGTGCGCTCTGATGCAATTGACAATGGCCATACCACGCACCACGCGCTGGCATCTGATGCCACTGTGATGGCTATAATAACCTGGTTTTTTGTACAAATCAGCGCACAAACACGGCCTCATTGTTCTCTGTGAAGTGGGGCCATTGCTCGATACGTCCATTAGATTTTTGTTTTATAATTTTTAAGGCCACAGTGTTATTGACGAATGTGTTGAATGTCGTCATTGTTTATTAGTCTGTACCTTGCCAACAATGTTTTCCAATTCGAAAATGCTATTGAAAATTAATCAAATGTTTGGCGAGTAGTTTTCAGGCCAAATAAAATGTAAGTTGATCGCAGTGGAAATAGCGTCGTTTAAACCAACCGCTTATATAAATGTAGAAAAGTACAAATGCATTCATAAGGTGTGTGAGGGGCAGGAGGTGGTGGAGGTAATCAAAATAGGTGTTTTGATTACCTCCACCCTTCTCTGGCGTCGTGAAATATTAACGCTGGCATCTTTTTTCATTCTCCCGAGTTTTCCCATTACATTTGATTTGAAAGTTTGGAGTGGGGCTGAGTGGGAGGCTGTAAGGAAGGTGCTCTCATGAAATACATAAAAAATATATGACGGGGCTCATGCAAAATAAATAAACAAAATATATTACGTGCTATCGTGGGTGGAATGTGGACACTGGCATAATAGGCAAGGGTCGGTGATGGTCCTCCTGTCTGTGCGCTTTCTGAACCAATCTTTTTAGTTTTACAGCAGCAGCAGCGTTCGTTTGAACAATAAAAGTCTGGAGCAGTTGTTCGTCTCATCAGTCGCGTCAGGCACGTTAAACAAATACTGCTGGGTTTACTGGTGTGTTATCGGCAAGAACACTCCATGAGCACAATGCGGCCCGTTCAGCGCAGGACAGGAACATCGTGCAAAATGTATCATGCGCTGTCATAGATTGTTGGCATCCTACATAATAAGTAGCCAATCTGCATGTGTTTGTCTGGAGAATTACCCCGAGACTGCTCCACGAATTTCAATGAATGTGCTGTCATTTGGAAGCTTTTATGTAGCTTAAGCAAACGAGGTAAAAATTAAAGGAACATAAATGACCCATAACCCGATAATTCACCCAATTTGCAAAAAGCGTTGCTTATCCATTCTACTATTTACAATGGAGATATGTGTGAAATGTGCTACGTTTCAAAATTATACCACACATACGCCTAAAAACTATATATATACATTTTTTTGTTATTTTACCAGATAAGGCCAACTGAGCTACGTGTAGCACTTTTGGCTAATCGTGTGGAAATTTATAGCAGCCAAATACAATAAACGCACGTTTCTCAATGTGGAGGGAAAACCCAGAGGACTCGGAGAAAAATCCACACGACCATGGGGAGAACACGCACACTCCAAATATACAGCAGGTGTCAGGGGTCGGGTTCGAACCCACGACCTCCTGTATACCGGGCGAGGGAGTTAACATCTGTTCGCCACTGTGACGCCCCTGGTTCCCGTAACCAGGTTCGCAACTTCCGCCTGCGAATGCACGCGCCCCCTTCTGCCGAAACACGTGGAGACGTCACCATCGCAACATGTGCACGCGGTGCCACTCTGGCCCCCGTCACAACGCAAATGTCAAACTGACACTTTGCGCGCGCCCATTTGCGCTTGCTTCACGGTCCTACTTTTAAACATAATTGCGCCTCGTTACCGTGGTGAAGGTGTTGGGCCCCGCAATCGCTTGCTCAGCGCAGCTGCTGGCGTTCCGATGTGAGCTATGCACTTTTAAATCGAGATTGAAAACGCAATTCTTTAAAGCAAATGTTTGTGTTTAGTTTTGTTGTCCACCCCCGCACCTCCCAATTGAACACGGTTTGGTTCGGTACGGTGGGGAAAAAGTTCAACAGACTGTAAATACCGGCCGCTTTGAGTGCGGTGCGCCAACCACCACACCACGGCAGAGTGCCTCGCCTAATGTATTGTTGTATTTTTTTTATTATTTTGGTGCAACAATTTGTTTCAAACTCATAGAATTGTGAATAAACTAATTTGAAGAAATGTGCGATTGTTGCATCTCGGCGGGCTTCCCGCTGAGCATTAAATACACAGAACAGGGTTTGATGTGACCCAAACGTAAACACATTTTCCATAAGCCTGCTTAAGAGTTTACCTTTGTTTAAACAAATGCTGCTGGCAAACATCGCTCCATTCGGGTAACGATATCATGGCCCAGTAAATGATTTAATAATGACAGAAACAGACTTTGATATATTCCTCATTATTATCAGGCACGGTCAATCCACTGCTGGATGAAGGCCGCCCACCGTCTCTCGTGCTCCTACGATGTAACAATCCACCGGGCATCTGGGAATAAGTTGATTTCATTCGCTCCGTCTCATTCCCTCCTTCGGCTTGCATTCTGCAATTATTCTCTCGCCAAACCATCATCCCCATTTTAACGCGAAGGCTTTCGCGAGCAATATATTCCACAATACAGTTTTTGTGTGGTTTAGATCGCGTAAATATATATTGTGTCGTTAAACCCGCCACCATCCCACACAGCCAATGAGTAAAGTTTGTCGCGGGCCGTGTTTCTGCCCGAGTGCGATGATTTCATCTCAAGTTAAACGTGACGCATTTAAATCCCGTGTGCGTGTCCCTCTAACCCACGTGGCCTCCTGTTTTTGTCCAGCCTCAAGTGCGATCCCGAGCCTGCATCTCTGCATGCGTCGGTGCACTCCTCACGCTCATTTTTTCAATCCTCTACCCATGCGCATTCGTGCTTCTCATCATCCACCATCACAGGAGGTGATATGCACTTGTTGAAACTTTCTCACTTGAACACAAACGTATTAACATGCAAAACATAATTGCAGGCATCCTTAAGTTACCTTCGCATCGCAGGGGGAATGTTACATAGGCTTCATTGGGATGTTCACGTACTCAATGGGATTCCTAAATCGCGTGGACAAACGAATGCAGGGTAATGTATTGTATGCACATGGTTAATGCATAAACAAGACAGAGATCGCCCGTTTAGCCTTAGCGGGCTTTTGGGGGAAATTGCGGTTAGCTAGCACGTACCAAGATCAGCACGCCACGCGAAAAGGGTGGGTGGCTAGCACCACACATGGCCGCCTTTGTCTCCCTCGTGATGATGTTTACACACCACACCAGGTGCTAATTTGAGACTCAGTCGACCAAGAGGAGGCCCTGGACTGGTTCAGATTATCGTCGCTGGTGTTGGCCGTAAGCGAGAATTGAACTCGGGCGGGCGAGTTCAAAGCGCAGCGTGCTAACCGCTCCCCATAAAATGTATAACCACACACGCGCGCACACACTTGCCTCGCCGTCACGGACACGCACGGCGACACTGGGAACATGCATTAAGTTGAAAACGTGTATGTAAATAAGCATGGCTTAAAAAAACAAGCAGCATATTACAGAAAAGCAGACATCAAAAGTACGCTCCATGAAATATTTTTTCGTGCAAATGCAGCTTTTTTTATTTGAGTGTATAAATAATCACAGGTATCGATATTATTACAAAAAAACAACCAAAAGAGAGAGAGAAAATAAACTAAAATAGTGGTTTCCACAGCACCAGCTGACCACGGCAAATGTTGTACCTACCCCTTCCATTTACCGCAGCGGGGACTCATCGTGCATTCTCCCGTGTGATTGTGATGGGCGTTTAGTGGTTTCTTTGGCTCCAAACACATTCGCCAGACTCCTGGCCGTGATGTTTTGGATTTAAATCAAACTGGACACATGAAAGCTCCCTACTTTTTGATCTTCCACTTGTTTTGTTGTGGTTTCTTTATTTTATTATTACTGCGCACCGTTGTTATTCTCACTTTGCCTGCTTTATTAAAAATGTATTTCTTTCACGTGCCGATTCCCTACTGGTGTTTCTTATTTCTTTATATATATTTTTTACGATCCTAACGCCACTGCTCGCTTTGCTCCCCTTCCCAATCTCATCTCCGATTTCCCCCCGGAATCATTGGTTCAGTGCCCTTGCCGCACCCCCTCCCCCGCAACCCTCCCACCCACCCCCCCAATGAATCTCCCCCGCTCAGACGAACAAAATAACTCGAGCCCCTAAGCAGTAAACAGCATTTTCTCTTTTGTAAATTCAATACACATGCACGATGTGCCCCGAAAACTACTCTCAAAGTTAAATTGAATTCCACTATACATTAGAACACTGAACTATAGCCTCACCCAATCCAAAATAACGTACTTTTTTTCAAATGTAATGAAAATCCGTGTAATGTACACAGAGCTGTCGGTTTCTTGTCTTCGAAATTTGCCCCGTATGTAAGTGGCATCGCTCGGCATGCACTAAGCAGTGTTGCGCTGCACGGAGGAGATGCACAAAGCACGCAAGATGCCACAAGATGCCCCATCACTCTTACCACTCCCAAGATGTCCCATCACTTCCCACCACTCCCTAAATGTCCCAATCACTCCCAAGATGCCACATCACTTCCCATCATTCCCAAGATGTCCCAATCACTCCCAAGATGTCCCATCACTTCCCACCACTCCCTAAATGTCGCAATCACTCCCATCACTCCCAAGATGCCACATCACTTCCCATCACTCCCCAAGATGCCCCAATCACTCCCATCACTGCCAAGATGTCCCATCACTTCCCACCACTCCCTAAATGTCGCAATCACTCCCATCACTCCCAAGATACCACATCACTTCCCATCACTCCCCAAGATGCCCCAATCACTCCCATCACTGCCAAGATGCCCCATCACTTCCCATCACTCCCAAGATGCCACATCACTTCCCATCACTCCCAAGATGTCACAATCACTTCCCATCACTCCCAAGATGCCCCATCACTCCCAGTTAATACCGCTTGCTCAGCCTCGCCCAGCAGTGAGCACAAGGTTTAGTTTGACAGTCAATTTATTTTCTCCCAATTTGTTCTTCTTTTCACTACTCATTTCGTGAAAAGCTCCAGCGTGCTCGTAACAATGCGTGCCTGCCAATACGCTCGTGCACAAAGCAGGAAAGGGGGTGGGTGGGAGGCGGAGGGGGGCCACGGACGCGAGCCACCGAATATTTAATGCAGAAAAATAATAGATCACGACATTTCGATTGCAACACAAGCAATCGTCATCAGGTGGGACAACCACAGCAAGTCGTGATCTATTGTTTTTCTACCTACGTGACTTTACCGAAATAACCAAACAGTGTGGATTCCTGCAGTCACGAAAGCTTCAAATCAAGATTTAACGGAGAAACCTGACGTGACCAACGGCCGATTCGAAAGCGCAGTGCCGAATGCAGTTCAAGCTGACGTTGTTCCTCCATTTTTCTTTACTGCAGCAAAAGTCGCGATCATCTGGATTTAATTGCAACGCAGGCACTGCTGATAAAATGATGGGCACGTCCTTTCTCTTTCTCTCTCTCTCTCGCTGTCAGTAGGGCAAGCACCCGACAATCAGTAACTAAATCGCGAAGCGCACGGAGCATCTGATACCGTATATATTTGTGTTTATCAACACCCGTCTTGGTTGACGCGGTTCATTGAAGGCAGCCCTCGGCTCCGTGGCGTCACGACGTTGGCTGTCAATGCACGGTAGCAGCACCGCGACCGCGATGCATCATCAAATGGCGACGAGCGGCACGGGCTGGGCCGGCAAACGCCGCCAAGGAGACGCAGCGCCGCTGCCACCTCGATGCCCGCTACCTACATTTTTTTTGGGGTGGGCCGGGGTTTTCAGATCAGTGCACCGGGAGGGCAGGCTGGAGTGCTTTTTACCTCTTGACACTGCGACACATCGCCAAACTCCTCCTGGCCAATGTGGCCGGCCAGTGTGAAGTCTCCACTGGCCCCAGTGGAATCGAGCTGTGGCTTTACCCGTGCGTCATGGAGCCGTGACGCTACCTGCGGCACCCAACATCCTCCCAGACGAGAGCACCGGACTGAAGTTCAGCCACAGCGTTTTAGGTTCTTCTTCTTCTTCGTTTCTATACGATCACTGCGATGTGGGCTGAGGGCCATGATGGGTGCACACTCTTCCCTACAACGATCAACGTGGGTGTGCAACTTAAGCGCACGCACAAGGGCCCTGCGTGTGGGAACGCACAGAGGGCGCCGCTAAGCTTCAAGGAATCAACTCTTCAAATGAATGTTATCCGTTCAACAGACTGGTAGGCAATCACACAGGAGGTGGGGGACACGGAGTCGACAACTATTAAAATGCTGTTCTTGCATTCAGCCAAATCGTTGCCTGCCGTCATGCGACCTTCACATTACGTTTGCCTCTTGTGGTGTCACTTTTTTTTGCGTGCTTTACAAAATCTACGATGAAACCCCCTCCCTGGTTTCTTTGCGGACTGAGAACCGCGTGCTATTTTGTTTTGTTACACATCCACCCCAAGGCCCAGGCAAAGCATGGCAGAGCTTTTTGTCCAGTCGTGATGGTGAAATGATAGTCCCAGAAGTCACACGGCCACACTTAATGCAACAAATTAAAGCAACTTTTACAAACACCGTGGCGCCACAATGAACCCATGCAAGGCATTGCAATTAGAAACAGCAGACAATGTGATTACACATTTGTTTGGTACTCCTTTGTAGGTGCAATGATAGGAAAACACTAAACATCTTGCTTTATTAATTTAAAGCATATTTATTGTGGATAGATCCACTAAGATGCATATGTTGCTTACAGGGATGTCCAGCCCTCAGTGGAGAGAGAGAGAAAACAAACAACTCGTGTTTTTCTTGAATGATTTAGACATACAGATAAAACTTCGCCAAGCCCGTCAGTGGTGCTGCACTATAGTGGTGATTTAATTGGGGCACTGAGGTTAATACGCCACGTGAAATATGAAGTGTGGGAAGGCTGAAACACTGGGAGGGGGGCAGAACAGCCTTTTTGTTGTTGGAAGGATGTTGAAAAAAAAACCAGGATTCATTCTCTCTTCATGATATTGGACAGTGTTTAGTCTTTCAAGTCCATCATGAACCAACAACATTGCTCATGCACACAGCACACGCTGCTGCTACTGCTGCTGCTGCTGTGCAGGGTTTTCCCTGTTGCGCTGCTCAGCTGCACGACTGTTGTTGTTTGGGTTGCACCGCACGTTGAGCGGCACAGTTTGTCCCTTGTTTGCTCCACGCCGGGAGACCGTGCCAAACAACATGCGGTGAAACCCAAGAACTCACCGGAGAGCTCCAGCGAACACGTTGCTATTCATCTTATCGGCACCACGCGGCTCAAACCTACGGTCAACACGCATCAGTATTCCACCATCGTCAATATTTCAAACATCAATATTCCAAAAAGCAAAAACCTACCAAAAATTTTCTGTGTGTTGTACGTCGTAATGATTTTTCAATGTTTTTTTTCTTTCCCCCCTGTGGCACGACCTAGCATTGGCTCGACACGGACGCCAACCACGGTGACATCACGGTCACACGGGTTGGCATTGAGGGGGGCAAGATCGGGCACGAATCTGGCTGGTTGGCACACCCGGCGAGGGTCGCGAAGCAAGCCTCGCCTTTTGCCCCCCTAAAACTGCATGCCCCCCCCCGCCACCCAAGCGCAAGTAGGCTGGACGAGGAGTACAGCTCCCTCCGATTCCAATTAGCAGGCTTATCCTCGCCCTCCCCGACGTAACGATAGCCGGCATTACTGGCAGCTCGTGCAGGCATACAGCGCCGATGCATACCCATTACAGCGACGCCAGTTGCATGGCTGTGGCTTTCCGTCCGTTGAGAGCCTCCGGATCTCAGGGTTTAGGAAGTGTCCCAGAACCGTGACGTCTTAGCTCCATGCCAATTAAGTTTTTTTTGTTTTACATTTTTTTTTCTACCCACTTCATTTCAGCTGATTTGTGCCGTCTCTGCCGCCACGCTGCACTCTTCCCAGAGAGGCGTATTCACGTCACACTGGGATGGACGGGCTTGTCTTCTATACCGCCCCCTTTGCGGTAACCACACTGACACAATGGAAACTTGCTATGCGTGAAAAGGGCTGGCGCCTCGGTCTCTAGTGTCATGGTCGAAAGAAAAGAAAACGCTCAACGCTCTACCGGTCCGCTAACTTTGCTCCCGTGTCACCCGTCGCACTAGGTGGAGAGCTCAATGGGTGCAAGTTCCATCGTCCAAACAACAACAACAACAACGTGGAGAATGGCTCGCGAGCATGAACAATTGACAAGTTGATGAACCGTCCAGCCCTAATTAGGTGTTCTTAAAATTTAGCGGAGGCACAAATCATGGTTATGGCTTTAACATGATGACAATATGCAATCATAAATACGTTTTTAATATTAAACATTTTAAAAAGGTCCTTAAGGTAATACACTCTACATTAGGATAGCTATTGATAAGTATGCACCTAAGTAAAAAAACATGTTACATTTTCATAAAGACTAAAAGATGCAGTGTCTGCACAAAAGTGAAGACACGATTGTGTTCGAGAGGTCAGCGATAGAACGAGACACATACATAATGTCAGGCTTCACACATATTATGAATGTAAAAAAATGAAACAACACAAAATAATGACAACAATGCATTATTATTATTATCATAGTGCTTATGCCGTTATTGTTCACATGAATAGGGCATTGTGTGCCGTGCCTGCCGAAATGTCCGTTCCTCGACTGCTTTTCCATGTCTGGAACCCCCTTTAACCAAATCTCCAATTTCTCACTGAACCCCGGAAACGCATTGACCAAACTGCTCCAAGGCGATATGTGGTACACGGATAACGGTGACATTACGGCCCGTTTAATAATCGTCGCAATAATAATACTGCAATGCTAAAAACGTAAATATGTCTAAAATATGACGACACAGATACAACGGTGGCCTTGTGCACTCAGGCACATAGCACGAGTGATTGTAAAACATGCAATTCATACTTTTAACTGGGAAAATGCTAAGCTCACTCACACCTGGAATAATGCAAGCATTTGACTTTCGTTAATGTCCCTTCGACAAAGGTATTTTTTTTTTAAGATCGGCCAATAAAAGCTGATGTTCTCCTTCCACCCCACAGGTAGCGAAAGTCTGAGCTACAGGTCCAAATCTTGTTTTCGTTTCCAAGAAGCCAGGGCGATTCTTAGAACATTCTAATTGTACAAGGGTAGTCAGTTAAACATGAAAAAAGAAGCTAAAATTAAAAAAAGTAAAGTTTTTTGAGCAAGAACTACAGGCATTTCCCTTTTAATGTTCACCTACACTGTATTCAAAACATGAATATACGAGGACCATAAATCCCACAAACTAATTACAAAGGGTCCTTTAGTGAACAGTCGCTCAATCTTGCTCTAACTCTCCGATTCAAAATCAACTCCATGGGAGTCCTCACGATAATTTCAGCATTGGTCAAACTTTTCGTGGTTCACTACCACCTGGTTCCCCATTTTGGAAATACATACATGCCTCATTTATTTTTCCATCCGCTAATTCAGATTACTCTTCTGCCGTTCCCTCCGTGGGTTGTCTCCCGGTGATTATTTCAAGAGGTTTCCTCATCGTTCTTCCAGCCCTGTTTCACAATTTTCTTCATCTCACTTGGGTGGGAGTTGTCGAATCTTCTTGGCCTCATATGCTGGATCGGTAACTTGCAAAATGCAGCAACTGTTCACCCTCCAAATGCAGTAGTTTCAAATATCGTCACTTCACTTCCCGAATTTGAACGAGTAATTGCTCACCGCACTTCAGAAACCTAAAAGATAAAATACAAACCGTACGTTTTTCTTCAAGAATTATTACTTTGTTACTTTTTCTCCTTTTTTTGTCTTCAGTACTTTTCAAACGTTTACGTTCATTGTTCTTGTATTTTTTGTGTGTCCATTTTTTCTCTCTCGTTTTAATACAAATCGGTACAGTATCCAGCGCTGAAACACAACGGTGCTAAAACGCGAGGAGCGACGCGGTTTTCCCACCGGGCACCAAAAAAACCTCCACGGATCGGCGGCCGCCGGCTCGCACTGCGATGGCGTCTTCGGCGTCCGCCACCGCGTGCGGGAAAGGCCAGCGGCGCGGCGACGGCGGCCGGCGGAGGGCGGCGCCGTCAATCCTCGGCCTTGCCCTCGACCGTCGCGTACAGGCCGGCGAGCTTGCCGAAGCGCGGCCCCCAGTTGGCCAAGTAGTCGTAGCAGTGGTCGGCGTCCGGGTCGGCCCCGGCGCCCGAGGAAGAGGCGCGTGACTCGAGCGAGGAGAGCGAGCCGGCCAGCGAGCCCTGGCCCTCGTAGGCAAAGGCCTGCAGCGAGTCGTAGGGGGGCGCCTGCGGATCGCCGTCGGCCCTGCGCAGCATGTCGAGCAGGAAGCCGCCCATGTCGCCGCCGGCCCCACTGGCGATGCCTCCAGATCCCGAGCCAGAAGACGGAGCTCCGGCCACGCCGAGCACGAACCCGGGGCTGATGCGGTCATCCCACACCCTGCGTGCCACCCAGGCGATAGACAACGAAACTCATGAAAAAAAATACTCATACAAAATAATAAAACACGTTAACGACACTGCTGTGGCTTTGGTGAAAGATCGCCATTCTGGGCGTAATTAGGGAACCAAAACTTAGAGCGAGTATGATGAATCCACCAAAAATCTGCAAAAAACAAATACCCTTTCCAAAATGGGTGGTTTTAATTGCTCACGAGGAACCCCGATTGATGGATATCCGAATTACATCTTTTTTAATAATCTTCTGAATTGTTCACATTTATCGACACATTTTTTTATTTTTATCATAATATTACTGTTAAAAGTACTTTTTTTTAAAGTTCGGTTTGTTGAGCTGTTGTTCCACTTTCAACCTGAGAGTGAGCAAGTCGCCGATTGTGGAGGCCTCGTACACACACGGCGAGGCGGCGCCAGCGCCACCACTTGGTATAAACCAAGGTAGGACAAAGGCACGTGCACCATACAATTAAACAGATACCGAATTGTATGTATGCATGCATGTTGAACTTCTTTCGCACCATACGTAGCCAACCGTGCTAATGGGAGGTGCAGGGGAAGGACAATAAACGAAACACAAAAATCCATTCGAAGTGAATGAGTTTTTTTTATCTAGATTTGAAAGTGCACAGCTCCAGTGGCTTCCTCATGTTAGAAGGAAGGGCATTCCAGACGGCCGCAGAAGCGCATCTGAAAGTGTGTGGTGCGGTGACCGTCTTTGTTTAATGGCCAAACAAAATCCGCTGAGAGGATGACCGGAGCTCGTGTGATGGTTTACTCTCCTTGACGACATTATATAAAGTTATTGTGGTTCATTTGTGGCCAGCAATTTGTGTGTAATGACTGCGACCTTATAAGGTATTTGTTTGGCAACATGAAGCCAATGCAGTTTGGCGAGCGCTGGACGGACATGGTCGGATCTTAAATCGAAATATAAACAATAAAGGTTCAAATGAAAAAAAACCCCACCATACACATGGTTGATAAAGCCGCAGTTTTAATTATAGATATGATGTATTTAGACCATTAAAATTACATTTTTTTCAAATGAAGGAAAACTGAATTTGCAAGTGAGGTCTTTGTAATGTGTTTGATTTAACAAGGTAAAAATCTGCCAAGTAGGTACATTTTCCATCACAACTGTCGCGGCTCTGCATAGTTGAATCGTGATTTTGTAGCTCCAAAATGTGGGCATCACCACCCCCTCCCTCTTACACCGGGTCCTGCCCCCCCCACTCTCTCCCACGCCTCCTCCCCAGCAGCTCCCTGCTGCACCGCTCTGGCTCCCGACCTGTCCACTTCTCTGCCACGCTTCAGGCCGGATTCCGTTAATCGTGTTGGGCGTACATGCCCCACACAAGTGACTTCAAGTAAGACGTGTTTTATCGATATCCCCAACGAGAGTTCACAGAGATTAAACGTCCCATATATATAAAGAGCACATCAGGACGATTGCATAAGGAGGATTTAACCGATGGAAATGTTTGGGGGTGTTGCGGGCAATTTTTTTTGTTTTTTAATGATCCATCATGCCTTTAGGCACACAGTGGGCAATTCTTACGTGGAATGTAATTGGGCGAGTAATGACGATTTTTCAGCGGACTGCTGAGCTGCATTGGCTTCCGGTTGCCAAACGAATACATTATAAAGTCACACATTACACACAGAGTGCTTGCCACTAATGAACCACAACACCTTGCTGATCTCGTCAAGGAGCCCCGGTCATCCTCGCAGCAGCAGCAGCGACTTCTTGGCTGGCCATTGCACAAAGACGGTCACTGCATTGCGCGCTTTCAGATGCACTTCTACGGCCGTCTGGAACGTTCTTCCTTCCGATATTAGGAAGCCACTGGAGCTATGCACTTTTAAATCTAGATTGAAATCTAATTTCTTCAAAACTGCTTTTTGTGTTAAGTTTGCTGTCCTTCCCCTGCACCTATGATTACACGGTTGTCTACAAACAGTGCAAAATAAATTCAACGTACGTACATAAACAACATGCAGTTGTTCGCCAAACACCCCTCTTACCCCACCCACTTGAGAACTCGCTTCAGTTGAGAACCCAGTTTAACCACAGATTGAGTCCAGGATCTCAGTAGTATCAGGTCGCTGACCTTTGAACCAACCGTCCACCTGTGTTTGTACAGAATGGTCCAGATGTATTGTGACCCCCAATCAATTGACCCCGAACTTTAAAAAAATATTACGTTTAAGATCATTAAATGGGGGTCGCAAGACATCTGGACCAACCTGTCCAGTGTTTACCATCTCATCTGTGTGATGTCTCAATGTTACACGTACGCTTTGTACTTTTTGTTTTCTCAATGAGCAAAAAAAGGTAACATCAGAATTTCCTTTGCTTGCAAATAATTGATTTGCACGCGAACAAATTCAACGGGTCCATCAAGATTTGAATCAGCGAATCGACCCATCGTTACATGCCTTGTTGGCAATGGCACGTAAGATTTCCACATGGACTTCTATTTAACGTAAGAGGTTACAGTTTAAATTTTAAATTTCCACGAGGGCTCACATTATCTCCGGGCCCAGACTACCTTCCCAGGAGTATTTGTAAAAGTGATGACTTGGTGATTTTTAAATCTTGCCTAATAGTCCATTAAGATTACAATTAACCCGTGTTCGACAAGGTGATAATATGATTTCATGCTTGTAATATAATTTTCACAACCACTGCTTTTTAAATGTTTCTATTTAATCACCATAATCTCAAATCGTGAAAAGCTTTATCTTGCTCCTTAGGGTATTTCAGTGACTTTGTCAGACTAGTTATTCACAACCACTCAGGTTTCATTTTTTCCACCTTCACCAATCAACCGGCAGTAATGTAATTGACCTAATTTATCTTCCACCCCAATTATATATCAATTGTGCTATCGGCAGCACAATGTCACAAGATAAGGACATTTACATTAAAAAAAAACGTGGATGGCAGAACGTCTCCCATTTATATGCTCTGCAAAACGTTGTTTATCTTAATGTGAAACAAAGCAAAAAATTACATTCTCAGTGCTGGAATGAACATTAGAGTTCTGCGAACAAAACCAATTTACATAAAATTCATTTTTTCTGTAGTCGTTGGCTGTACTTAAGAATGTAGTTTAACCACAGGCCTATGAAACCTGAGTTTGAAACCAGTAGGCTCAATGGCCACCTAAAACATGAACCACGTGGCCAACCACCAGCCACCTGACCACCTAACGACCCCCTCCTCCAATAAGCCCACACCTGGTCTTTGTATGATTGTAGGAGGATGAATAAAGTCAAGATTTTAATGCCAGGTGGTTCAAGACACAGAGGCACAACATGCTGCCATCATGGACTGTAACAGATGATGAGATTTGTGATCATTCTTATGACAATGATGATGATGACAGCGCCTATAAATCACTTTCGATCTTTTATGCCAGATTTCCTCAACACAGGCCCAAACGTGTATTAAGCAACGTAGCCCAGCACTGACCATGCTGCAGCAGATTCGAACTAGCAGGATTCTCCAATTGACCAATGTTGCACGCGAGTTTGGCAAAAAGAAAATAGAGACGGTGGGAATTAGGAGTGACAAAGTCGAGCCGCGCGAGGACGCGGGGAGCAAAAGAACCGCCCACAACAGTGCGGCGCCGCTGCCCGCGATGCCCGCGATGCCCGTGATGCCCGTGCCGCCCGCGATGCCCGCGATGCCCGCGATGCCCGCGATGCCCGCGCGGCTGCCCGTGCGGGCCTGCCCCGCGTACCGTCGCGCCCCGGGAGGCAGCTGAGGCTCGGCGGGTTTGACGTCGCGCCGCCCGCTGGCGTCGCCGTTCTCGGAGCGCTTGAGCGCCGCGATGTCGAAGGCCTCGGTGTCCTCCTCTCCGCCGCCCTCGTCGTCGTAGCTCACCACCGTCTCGCGCACGTCGCCCTCCGACTCGGCCATGAGCGGCTCCTTGCGGCGCCGGCGCAGCGTGACGCAGAGCACCACGATGACTGCGGGAGGCGGTGGCGGCGGCGGTGGTGGTGGTGGTGGTGGTGGTGGCCGAGTTGGTGAAGGTGGTGGTCGTGGTGGTTTTGGTGGTGGTGGTGGTGGTGGTGATGATGACGTTGGTGGTGATGACAGTGGGAGGGCGGACACAGAGACACACACACACACACACACACGCGCGCGCACAGTCAGGCGTGTTTCAAGAAAGAAATAGAACAGAAAAAGAGCAAGTGTGATAGATGTAGAGATAGAAATAGGTGTGAACAGATACAATGAATTATTTATCACAATCATTCATCCAATTTATGTATAAATCACTTCAGGTGGTATAAAAAAAATGTGACAAAAATGTCATGTTATTTATTTAATACCTAACCGTTTGCATTGGGCTGGCTGGCTGGCTTTGTGGCATAAGAATTCATTCTCTTTAGCTGCCGCCCGCCTAATTGGGGCGTCCGATGCCACGGCAGAATTTTAGCGACGGGCGCTAACGCCGCGTTGCGACGACTGCCAACGTCTCATCACCCCGGGCCGCGTCTTCACCCAGTACGGTGATCCTTGGGGGGATGCGTGAAGCCCCGAACTGTAACGCGACCGTTTAAGAATAAAAAATAAGAATGGAAAAAAAAAACCGCTGCTGGGTATCGGCTCCCTCTAAACTGTGAACGGATTCGGCGACATTGTTACAACAGCGAAAGGCTCATCGCACATTTTTTTCCCCCATGACGTTGGTATCGACGCTGGCAGCTCCCCTCGGGGCCGCGTGGACACCAGTCTGGGAAGATATGTTCATTCTGACAAGCAGACATGGCCTTTACTTCCACCCCCCCACAAAAAAACAACAACTAACCCCTCGCTCAATTGAGCTTTTTGGCAGCGCTCGTCTCTTCTTTACAGCCCTGAGTCAGTGGTGGAAGTTCCACGTTCCTTTGGCGGGGGCAAAGTCTCTCCACACCACCACTGTTGACTTTCCCACAGGTGGTGCTTTATTTAGTCATCCCAGAGGGATGATGGGCAGAAGCAATCTCCCTCCCCCTCACCAAAACCGCGATGTGATCTCGCCACCTTCCGATTGCGAGCCTCTCGCTCTACTGCTGAGCCACACGCCGGGGGATGTTTTAGTTTTCGTGCCGACACCGCAGTGTGAAACCACCTTTGTGAAATAAATTTAAAAAATCTGCTTGCGATATTAACTTTTTTTTAAACTCTCTCACTCAACGCTAATTTGAATTTAATATTGGCCACGTAATCGCCACATTTCGCAACTTTGGCCAAATTAAAGTGTGCGTGTCAATAATTATTTTCACGGTGGAATACGACAAACTGCACGGGGACGTTGCGAGGGAATCCCAGCGCCTTGCTTGTAAAAAAAATCCAAGTTGATATTTTTAATACATTTTCTCTGTTTACCTGTTTCCTTATTTAAGGATTTAAGAGTGGTGATGAAAATATTATAAGCAAATATTTAATATTATTCAGAAGCACAACACGAATATTGCAGATGTTGCTGACATAACATGGGGTGTTTGGAAATGTTTAAGTTTAGGATAAATTAAACAATGAAATAGCCAAGGCATCAGTACTTTGCCTTAACATCATGAATCCATGGTCTAATCCACTGCTGAATGCATGCCTCCCCACGCCACCACTATCCCTCGCATCATTACTCTCATTATTGCCACACATTGCCTTGAGATACGTAGTTGAGAGAAAAGGTGAAAGGTTATAAGTTAAAAGGGTCATCTATATGCCCAAGCACAACACAAAATAACTATATACATAGAGTACATACATACATATAAATAAAAACTGTGCAGGTCCACACTTAATATAAAGAATATGACTTGTTTGGCATTGGAGCAATTTCATCCAGAGGAAAAAGAATGGATTCCGTCCATATTCTCTGCGTGCGGAAGCATTCCATTACCTGTTCACAAATGAAGGTCCCCAAATTTTTAGTAGTGACCTTATTTTAAAAAAACACCACAAGGGAAACCAGTGACCCCCATCCATCAACAACACAACACAACACACACCCCCCTCCTACCAACAAACTCAAAATCCAAAAGAAAAATACAGGGGTAGTGTATAAAAATTCAGATTTCAAGAATTCCTTGATACGCAATGCATTATTTAGAGGCCGCATACCCTGGTGCATTATGAAATTTAATAGCATGCTACCAGCAGCAGTGAATGCCCATCTCGCACACCGGTATCATTAGTGTTTTTCCCCTGACCTCTATATGAATACCTCATGGCAGTGTCAATATTGATCGCAAGGGCTATTTATTCCAGACGTCTGTGACTCACCTTTCAGCCCTTTTATAACCGTGGTATGACACAACCCCAATACTGATAAATGCTGGAGTGTCATTACTTTGTGCCGTGTGAAGCGTACGCGTTAAAATGCTACCCTCAAGTTTGTTTCAATGTTTGCTGACAATGCACAAAGGACATCGACGATAATAATCTGATCCACTGAGGAGGAAGGCATTGTCCTGTAGTGGTTAGCTCACTGTGTTGCGAACATAGAGATCTCTGATTCCTGGTCACAGCGATCATTGAGTGATATCTGAATGGTTCGCGGCGGGATCCCCCCTTCATTAACCTGCACTGACCGGCATGGTGAAGTATGGTCAAACAACCCCAATGGCCAACTCGGCACAACGCAGTATGGGGAGACCTTAATCAGAAGCTTGATAAACATCAGGCATGTATTATGATTATTATTGTATTATTTACAAGTAAACTGAAGTCAAATGTTGATGGTTGAATTGATCAAAGGCTGTGCAGGGGATGTTTGCAAGTGAAGAATTAACATTTAGATTCAAAGCCAAAATCCATTAAATACTCTGCAGGCTTAGTTCAATGGGCAGCATCACCGGCAAAGGTCATGTTTTAGGATGTGTCAACATGAGCTCGAGGTAAGTTACCTTCACTTGCAATTGTATTCATTTAGTTCCCCATTACAGCAGCACGACTAATCCTCTGCCACCGAACACCCCCACCCCCTTCTCTCGCAGCCGTCAATCCGAGGCCGCACAGCGCCGTTACATTTTAAAAATATTCCGTTGGAAACTTTTAAAAGCAGAGCACGCCTGTCACTTCGCGTAAACGGTACCAGAGTAACATATCACGCGAACGTCCTTAATCTCCTTATTTTATTTCTGTTATGCATTATTTGTTGTTGTTGGTGGCAAGGCACTGGGGTGCTTTATCTCCGAGCAAGCCCAGGGCTACTACCGGAGGTTTGCGTGAATCGCCGTGGCACAAAAGCGCGTGGCCTGTTATGGCGACCTCAGAGCGTTAGGAATATAAAGAATCTCAAAGGGGGCACTCTGGAAAACGGCCATCAAAATCTGAGGCAACCGCCGAGGGCGGCGCGGCCTCCAACGGACCGCGCGCTTCCCGCGTCCGTGCCGCGGAGAGCGAGCGTGCGTACGCCTTGACAGCAATAACGGGTAGCCCCCCTGATTCGATTAAGAGGTTAAACTGCCAGGGATTCACCATTGAGAGGCGGAACTGGGTCATGGTAAAGGTGTGGTTTCAGCGGTGTAGAGTTTTTTTTTTTTACAAGGACCGAGCTTGACCACACAAAAGAGACAATGGCCTCACAAAGTGATCAAGCCATTCGTATTCACAAGAAAAATGTGCTAAATGTAAAATAAAATGTAAATATATATATAAATGCATGCACCTCAGACGCGTCTATGCAAAGTGCTGTAGCGGACTGAACGCGTTTCCAGGCAAAATGTTTCATCCCGTAAGCTGCATGTTCCAGAAACAAGGAAACACGTTTCCCGGAGTAGACCTGGATGCTACTTTGAGAAAAGTGTTGTCTTTGGCCAATCATTGACGGCACGACTGCACAAAAAAGTCTGCCCGACAAAGACCCCTGACAATGTTTCTTTGGCATTTTGTCGATGAACGTGAAGTGAAGTCGAAGTTCTGTCTGGGTTGGCGGTGTCAGTCGGTGACACGGTTCAACATTTCCGAACCAATGCTCAGCACAATGCAGAGAGATATGAGAGATTCGTCCATGAGGCTATCCACATATACAAACACAGAGACAATTTCAACCGAGAAGATGGATTCTGGCTTAGCAATCATTGGAAGGATTTGATAAACCATTTTGGGTCTTAATTGATTGATCACGCTTAAGGTGGCTTTCAGAACGTGTCCATTATTTTTCGTCTCCCCCCTCCTCTTTTCCGAACATAGATGGACTCGTCCATCTGAACGAACTGTCAAATCGCTATCCGTGGTGCTAACGTTAAAAAAACGCCACTTTTTTCAAATTTTCTTTGTTGTGGCTTTCACACCTGATGATGATTGCTTGTGTTGCAGTCGAAACGGCGTGATAATTTTTTTTATATTTTTTATTATTTTATTGTTTCCCTTCTACGTGACTTTACCGAAAGAACCAAGAATACAATGCAGACTGTTTAAGGTCACTCGCACTAGGATGTTATCAATGAATGAAAACAGCCGGAGCAACTTGGGAATCGTGTTTTAAAAGGTTTATCGAACTTAAAAAGGGAACTCATGATGCACCGCATGCACAGCGATGGCCAGATGAATATATTTTCGAGTGAAATGGGGGCCGGGTATAAGTATCATTTGTGACAGTCAGATGTTTATCAAGACCATTTAAATACCGCACGTCATTTAACAATTGCCATGGAACGCTGCATAAATGTTTAATTACGTGAACACACCTAATGCACATCGGTGATTTAAAATGATCTCATTTCGAGTCATAGACATAGCTCTCAGGCTGTTTTACAAGTGGCATTTTCCAGAAAATGTATAAATATAAATGTACAGCGCTGAATCAATGTATTATTAATCTGAAGAGTTTAATGAGATTAATTATCACGTCGTATCAATGGTATGACAACTTATGAAAAAAACCGTAATGGTGAATTATGAAACAAAAATGTAATGGTGAATTATTGTAATTATAAATTATTATCGGTGTAATTGATCGTTCAGAATGAGGTCATATTGTCAGAACGCATTCAACTAATGTACCGAATGAATTATTCGCTTGCGGGCGTGTGAACATCAACTGAATCTCAAGACTTATGTTCAGGAGAGTCCTGCTGGGGATGCATGGCAAACATCATTGAAGGTGTACCGTTTGTTTGTATCCATGTGAGATGAACCTGGGGGCACTGGAAGAACCCCTCTCTTAGGTGGGAAAAAAAAAAAAACATTTAAATTCCTACGCTATATTCATAGATTATAAACCTACATGTACTTGTAATACTTCCACATATGATAATCCCATCGCCCTGCCAAAGGAAACTCACAGCTTCATCTCTGTCAGTAAGCATGGTGCTGTATGAAAGGGAGCCGATGTGAAACGCTTTCTGTATCCCGGTGTTCGGTATGCAGCATTCTGAATGTAGCGTTCTGCATCTCGCGTTCTCGCATCTCGCGTCGATGCATCGAGCGTTTTGCATCTAGCACTCTGCATCTTGGATCCTGCAGGCGGGCTCCTGCGCACGAGCGGCGCGTGAAGCGTCACTCACTCAGCAGCAGCAGGAGGCAGGCCAGCATGGCGATCAGGGCCTTGGGGCTGAGCCCGGCCGGGAGGGCGAGCGCCTCGGCCGTGCAGGACAGCACGGCGCCCTCGGCGTCGCACGCGCACACGCGCACAGTCAGCGTGCCCGTGCCCGTCAGCGACGGGCTCCCGCCGTCGCTCACCGCCACCGGCACGAGGTGCGGCCCGTCGTCCCGTCGCCGGTAGCCGTGCCTCCGCGTCACCAGGCCCGCGGTGTTGTCTGCCGCAGGATGGTTGGGGGGGGGGGGGGGGGGGGAGCGGAGGTGGGGGAAGGTGAAACGGTGAGCGTTGAGGGGGCGTTAGGGTGAGGATCGTGAGGCTGTCACTCGGCTCGCTGCCAGGAAATGAAGGCTCTTCGTTTTGTTGCGCTGCCGACATCATGTCACGAGAAGGTCGTCATCATCAATCATCATGTGTCAACTCGATTTTGCATATCGCAGTAGAATTTAAAGAAATCCCGAAGCGCCAAGGGAAATAAAAGGCACAATTGAACAGGGTACCGAACAATGGGCAGTAGAGACTTTAAACCTAAACGGAAACAAGTTTGCAAGACAACCGATAATATTGTATGCATGAAGTAACCATTTGGCTTTCACGCATTGCAGAACAACCCTTCGTGCCGGAGAACGGCCCACAGAAGTAGATATTGCAGAGCTACCCCCGAGATCCTTTCGTGACCTCTGATCTGCACAGGAAAAGGAGAGCACTTTCCCACCCACTGTCAGAGCAATCATCATTGACTGTGCTGAGACCATCAACTCACAACGCTTCATAACAAATTTGTTTTTCGACAAATATGTTGAGTTGTTTTGGTCTAATTACTGGTGGCTGTCCGGACTTGGGCTCAAGTATTCAGCCATGCTGGCTGTGACCTTTTGACCTCAACCAAGGCTTGGTGTTAATTTGAAGATTGCATCGTTGAGTGCAAATGTCCTTGGGCTGCGAACAGTTACCTGGTTCGTATTAGAACGGGCACTATGTGGAGTTCTCGGGTCTTTAAAGGTGTCATGTGAAGAAAGAGGAATTATGATGTGATAATGTGCACAATTTTCACAATTTCATCCGAAAAAATGTCTCACTCACATGAGGGAATCAGAAATCAGAAACGAGCGGGGGTTATGCATGAATGTACCTTGCTGTCATGCACCTTCCGTAGCACTTGCCAAGGGTGGTCGAATTCCAAGTTTAGAGAATGCTTTTAAAATATGTATATTACATACGTGGCTTTTAACAAAATTAATTCTTAAAAACCTCGAAGCAATAATTAAAGTGATATTTTTTTTAGGGAGGATTTTCTGCTGCTGAAAGCAATAGCACGCCGCTTTCACAAATGCGTTGAAGATTTGCAAATATATCACTCTGGACATATTTCAGCTTTATCAGGTACATCATTTCCTGAGGCACGTGTGTAAATGTACAGTCCCCTTATCAATCCACTGCTGGATGAAGGCGTGCCAATGCCTTGCAGGTCGTGGGGGTTATTTGACAATACAGTACTTCTAGATTTGAAGCTTTCATGACTGCAAGGATTCATACTCTTTGGTTTTTTCGGTAAAGTCACGTAGGTAAAACAAAATTAAAATAAAAGAAAACAACTAAATCAAAGCTTCCGGAAGCTTGTGTTGCCTCCGAAACGTCGTGATTTGATTTAGTTGTTTCCTTTTATTTTAATTTTGTTTTACCTACGTGACTTTACCGAAAAAAACCAAAGAGTATGAATACAGTACTTCACCACACTGGTCAGTTCTCGTTGGTGAATGTGGGGAACATTGGCTTGGGATCATAGAAGTACAGTACAACAATGTACTTTGCAAAATTGCCCCCTGCTGCCCCACACATCACATGTAGCACCCATGTTAAAACGCAACTGTGATATATACCACCAAGGTATGCACAGCTGGGCCAGGCATTCTGAAATTTGCAGGGTGGTATGGAACCTAAGCTTTAACATAACATCAGAGGGACGGTGCAGTAGAAGCTGGATATGAGCACACCACTTGAGAGCAAGGCCATCTGGGCTTATATCCGAAGCAGTGTGCTTGTATCAGAAGTTGCCCTTTGCCTTCCCCCATCCACCAGCGCAATGCAAGCATGTGTCACTTATATCCAGCTCACAGTGCAGTCCATTGTGACACTGGGCTGGTGGCAGGAAGTGTGTCGCGAGGCAGCTGCACTGGCAGTCCACGGGGCTCTTGACGCACCTCCGTTGTCGACGATGGTGAAGTTTGGATTGTCGGCCGAGAGGGAGAAGAAAAACCTTTGTCCTGGCAGTGGCTCATCACGGTCGACCGCGCCGATCGTCTGGATCAGCTGCACGCGAGTAGCACAAAGACAAAGGTTACCCCGCATAGCCTTGACGGACTGTTGGGGCAAAGGGGCTGTTGGCGAGCTCATGTGAAGGCCGGCACGGCACACGAGGGGGCGGGTGGCCACAACCACGCCCGGACGCCTTTGTCTCCCCGATGGCGATGTTTACACGCCGCACCGGGTACTCATTCGAGGCTGCGTCGACCTAGGGGAGGCCCAGGACCGGTTCGGATAATCGTCACCGGTGTTGGCCGTGAGCGGGAATCGAACTCGGGTCGCCGGATTCGTAGCGCGGCGTAGCGCTAACCGCCCCACCACCGCTCCCTTCGGAGCACAAACACACACGTGCATGCACGCGAACACGCAGACAATCGCGCACACAACACACAGGCACGCACACGAGCAGACGGACACACGCACGCACACGGGCAGACGCACGCACAGGCACATCGAGGATGAGTCTTTTAAGCTGAGCTGGCTCTGCTCTGCTCCCTCCGTGTTCTCTCAATGTCACACAGATGACGCGAAGTGCATGCACATTCACGAGCCGGTGCACAAGTGAGTGTATGACACGGGACTTTAATGCACGTGCGTGCACGCGCGCGCGTGTGTGTGCACGTGCATCTGTGTGTGTGTCCATATGTTCATCTGCCTATTTGTTCCTCTGCTAATCGATCTGGTCGCCCATCTGTTCATCTGTCTGCTTTTTTCCGGATATAAATTTTTTTCCGTCACATCTGTACATTTGTATGTCCCCCCCCGCCCGCTACCTCCCTCCTGCTACCTCCACCCACATCCCCCCCACCTCCCCGACACCGTCCCCTCCCACTCACCTTGCCCGGCCGCGCGTTCTCGCACACGGTGGCGTCTGGGGGGTCGGGCGCGGCGATGGCGGGCGCGTTGTCGTTGACGTCGGTGACGCGGACGCTGACGCGCACGCGGCTCTTGCTCGCCACGTTGCCCTCCTCCTGGGCGAACACGCTCAGGTTGTGCCACGCGCTCGCCTCGCGGTCCAGGGCGCGCGCTGTGCTCAGGGCGCCGCTGTTCGGCTCGATGTTGAAGAAGAGCTCGAAGTCCGTGTTGCGGTCGATGTAGTACCTGCGCGCGCCAGTGATCAAATTAACAAAAATGAAACGGCAGCGCCTTCGCTCTCCGATTCGCCTCTCGGCCTGCGTTGTGCAGTGTTTGCCGTTATTCAAGTTCGACGTTTCGCTTCCGCTTTTCCAGGAGCCTTTTCAGACGTTGTCCAGGTGGTGAGATGTTAACTAGCTCGCCTGGTATGCAGGGGGTCGTGGGTTTGATCCCGACCCTGATCCCTGTTGTATATTTGGAGTTTGTGGTGTCTCTCTCCCAGTGGTTAAGTGGATTTTTATTTGGGTCATCCGGTTTTTCCCTCCACATTCAAAATCGACATCACGCGTTCAGAGGATTTGGCTGCTGTACATTTCCATACCATAAGCCACTTCGTTGTGCAATAATTTGAGGCCAGGTCGCTTCTGAAAATAAGCTATATAGCTCAGTGCGCCTTACCTAGTACAATAGAAAATAGATTAGTTTCGTTTTTAGATCAGCCTGACGTTTCACTCCATTGTAAAAAAAAAAAAAAACCTCCCTTCACGGTTTCGTTAGCCATCGAGCTGCCGTACTCTGTCTTGCCAGGAAGAGGCGGTGACATCAAGTGTCGACTATCATCACCTGCCCCATCTCTACAGGGATAGAGTGTTGCCCCCTCGCACACGTGGCTTTTCTCGGGGTACCTCTGGTTTCCTCCTACGTGCATTAATGTTCACTACATGTCTGAAAAGCCACACTGAGCCGTTGCACTATGTGTGGATTTTTGGGTAAACAATTATTTATAAATTTTGGTAAGCAATTACTCAGAATTGTTCAGGAACTGAAGGATCACCAGCACGTGGAGCAAGCTTCCCGACCGTGGTCCCACCTGAGGACCCACAACAAAGCGATAGAGCAAGACTGCAACAAACTATATTGTAATACAAAGCTTTAATGAGATCTTGTTATTTTTACGCTGTGCATCTAAATGTGTGTGCGTGTGCTGTTTTGGAAAGATTGAATTATGTCTGCATTGTGTTTGTATGCTGAACGCTCGTATTGTATTCTCTCTCGAAAAATAAATATAGTGCCTCAATGGAAAAGCGCCTGGTCATAAATAGAGGCTATTGATGAATTGATCAGTCACATGCACATACGTTGTTTTTCATTTTGCCTCGATATTCACATCAATGGGAATTATTTCGAGCCCTTTATGAATCCATTTCTCAATGGATCCCTCCCTATGCCATGGTTGGTCTTGGGGGTTGCTTGACAATGGGTCAGTGGAAGGGCCGGGGGACCAAGATCGGTCCAGATATCACTCACGGCTGATGTTAGATGTGGCCGGTAATCGAACTCAGGTGGCTGGGTTCATTATAGCGAAGCGCGCGTTAACCGCTGCATCGCTATTTTCAAACTCCAGTACGTAATTCAGAATTTCTATCGTCCTGCATGTGTTTTGCCGAAGAAAGCAGAATCTTCAGTGACGTAACAAAGACTTTGCGATCCCAAAAAGTTGTCCAAAATGAGGCATAGTAATCAATGCTATTTAAAAGTCAAAAGCCACTTCCGATTCATGTGAGTCATTGGAGAAAATTCCACATTGCTAAGCACTGTTAACTTTCCCCGCAAAGTGGAACTAATCTTATCGACTTCGGAGGGATGATGATAATGATGGGCTGAGTCAAAGCCGCAAGCGAGATGTGGACTTGGAACCTCCCGATTGCGAGCCGCTCGCTCTGCCGCGCCAGCCAAAAAATATTCCTCGGTGAGCGTCACGACACTGGCACGGTGAAGCCCGCCAGCCTCATCAACAAATATCATTCATAATAAAGGTTTTTGGGTTAGATCGCGTTATTTATAAATGTGTCGTAACCCTCCACCACCCGACACGGCCAATCAGCAAAAAAGTGTCACGTTGACAAAAGACAAATAGTTCACTACTTTAGCCCACCTGTGTGTTGAAGAGTGAATCCACAACATTTACAACATTTACAACGTGACACCTTTTTTGCTGATTGGCCGTGTCGGGTGGTGGAGGGTTACGACACATCTATAAATAACGCGATCTAACCCAAAAACCTTTATTACGAATAATACTGGTCACGAAAGCCTACGTGTTAAACTAACAAATATCACGCATGCCGAATTGTACGTAAAAAAAAAATCAAGTTTAGATTGTAATAAGATATACGCAGTTTTTCAGATTTCCTTTAAATCTCTCAGTGACATTGAGCATGCTCTAAATATAACCAATTCATTTGTTTTTTTTTAAATATCACGGAACTGGGAGGTCACTCACGAGGCAACGAATTAATGCAGCAGAACAAAGAACCTGCTCTTGATTAATGTTCTCCTGTGGAATGAGATATTTCCTGAATATCTTAATTAGTTTAAATGTCTGATGCAGGTGTGTGTGAAAATAAAATGTGTGCATGGGCATGCATTATTTCACATATGCATTGTATGGATGCCAATATGTACGTTATTACTTTATGTCCATGCGTGTATGCGTATTTATGAATGTGTGTGGGGAATAGAGGGCAGTGACTAGCGTAGAGGTTAGCACGCTGCGCTCCGCGATCCGAGTAGAATTCCCACTCGCGGCCAACACCAGTGACGATTGTGGGCTTCTGCTCGATCGACTCAGCCTTGAAAGAGTACCTGGGTGCAGGTGCGTAATAATCAGCACTCGGGAGACAAAGGTGCCCGGGTTGTGGTGTTGGCCACACACCCCCATCGTGTGCCTTGCCAGCCTTGATAAGTGCTCGCTAACGGCACTTGCCCCAACAGTCTGGGTGTGTTCTAGATTTGAAGCTTTCGTGACTGCAAGGATCCATACTCTTTGGTTCTATTCGGTAAAGTCACGTAGATAAAAAAATAAAACAACAAAAATCACGACGTTTCGGCCACAACACAAGCGGCCTTCATCAGGTGAAGGGACCAAACTGTCCAGCGGACAGCGTTGGAGTGAAGAAAGCCAAGCGCTGGTCGCCTTTTAAGCTGTGAGGGGGTAAACAGTAAACGCCTTGACAAAGGAAATTAGCATAAAACGTACTACTGACAGAGCTTGGAATTAGCATAAGATGATAATACACAACCTTGGAAGTTTGGAGTGCCACTACTAGAAAAAATATACTGTACCATTGAAAATGGTACAGTATATTTATTCTAGTATACTGGGTGTGAGCAAGCTTGCTTTTTAGGTTGCGTCAGTGTGCAGTCAACTGACAATGTTTAAGGTTGCATAAAAGTGTTCCCCAAAGATGTGGCCTCTCCATTGATTCCTATCGGGCTTACAGCACGAAGCCGCATTCCCGCGGGACCTCCGTGAACACGAAACGGCCTCGGTTCTCACAGGAGATGGGCGGGTGGGGGGTGTAAAAAAAAATTGGACAGACATCAGTGAATCTCAATTATACGGCAAAGGCTGAAATAATTTGCAGGTGCATTATTAAGGTTCTAAAAGTGTTTTCTTTTCTTCTTCTCAAGACCGCTTTCAACGGGATGATTGATGGTAATGGATTTTAATGGCAATTATGATGAATGCTTATTGGAGGAAAGTAGCCTCGTACTAAACTACTGGTTTGGATGGGGGGGGGGGGTCCTAGATGCAGAAAAGAATAATCGACCCTCAAGACACTTATTAAAGACGGTGTTGCTTTAGATTGCTTGGCTAATTGCTTATCTTTGGTAATTCAGGCATCTGTCTGGAAAGCCAAGTGTCTGGAGGGAAAGCCGCACTCGGGAAGATAATACTAACATGCTGCACAGATAGCTCGTCACCCTCCTTGCTGTACTGCTTTCTACATACACTGCTAATCGCCAATAGATATATATTGTATGAGCTTGCAGGAATTTATGTTTGCCTGCCTGTGTTTGCAAGCACGTTTCTGTGTGCGTAAAGAAATGAGCAAATATTGATAAATGTGCCTTCATTGTAATTAGAATTACCAGGAGAAGGTCACACGGGGCAATGAAATTGGTTGTTTGACCTTGGAGGAACGAATGGAACCTTCGACCTTCACCGAATAAAAATGTTTGCATAAGAAGGCACGGCGTCAACCAACTTCAAAGATTACAATGAAGCCCTTTGCACCCGGGCATTACAATCTTAATCCAATCATCAGATTAACATTTCATTAATTCACTACCTGGTTTAATGGGACGCCGTCACGGTGGCGAGATGTTAACTCCCTCGCCTGGTACGCAGGGGGGTCGTGAGTTCGATCCCGACCCTGATGCCTGCTGTATATTTGGCGTTTGCATGTCCACCTTGTGGTCGCGTGGATTTTTTTCTCCGGATCCTCCGGTTTTTCTCTCCGCATTTAGATTCAACATGCATTTCGAGCATTTGGCAACTCTACATATCCACTCGATCAGCCACTTCATTGAGCTATCATTTGTGGGCCAGGTCGCTTCTGAAATAGAGCTATATAGCTCAGTGGACCTTACCTGGTAACATAAAATAGTTTAGTTTATAGTTTTTAGTTTAATGGCGAGCGCCAATGGACCTGCGTTCCAGAGGCCACCGGTTCCATTCGATCTCCTGGCACGCGAGGCAGTCAAAAACAACGTTGGCAAGCTCCTCGATTCCTCCCGTCTCCGTCCACCCCGTGGTACGAGTGGGCACACCACGGTCAGTCGATTGGCAAGTCGTGTGTGGTGGGGTAAAGTGTGGGTACTCCCACCTGTTCTAAGAGTAGAAGAGTAAGCCAAATAAGACCCTAGGAGGGGTCCTCAAGAGTTAACTCTAGTGGAGGCACTAACAGTGGTCATGAGCAAGTCATTTTACGACTGCACCTATACTTGTCAGTAGGGGCGGAGCCAGGATTTCAGGCCGGGGTAACATTCAACAAATGTTAATTTCAAGAATGATTAGAGAGTCAGGCTGTTGAACTAGACGCCATCGGTTGGCGACACACTCTGACAATGAAGTTGCACGGAGTCCGCCAGACCGAGTGTCGTACACTTATACGCAAAATGTCACCCCTGTCACCCCCCCTGGCTCTGCCCCTGCTTGTCAGTGCTGGGTAAAGTGTTCTTTTCAGGCATCCGTTAAGACCGACACAAAATGGCAAGCGCCACACATGCCCCAGACAACAGATTATTATTATGCCACTTGTTTACCCAGGAAAGCCTCCATGAATCTCATGACTCTTTCTCTGCCAAGTTTTCGCAGTAGTCGGTGATGATTGGTTTGGCAAATTTGGGCCACGACGCCGGCATACAATGGCCCACGCTTGCGAATTACGTCCAGCAATCTTTAACAGTCACTCTGAAGCAGAGGGCATGCACATTTACAATAAATACAGGCACAGCCATTGGGTCGGAACCGTGAATATCTGCAATAAAGCCGCGGACGCGCCACCGCTTAGCCACGTCACTGCCCCGGGGGTTACGTCCAACCGCGCGTTCACGTTCGACGCTTGCGAGAACGTACCGCACGGGCAGCTTGGCACGGTCGGGGTCGCGTGCCGACACGCTGCCCACGTAGGCGCCCTCCGTGCCGTTCTCGGGCACCTCCATGCGGTACTCGCCGGCGCCGAACACGGGCGGCTCGTCCTCGTCCTTCACGGCGACGCGCACCAGCGCCGTGTCGCGGAACGGCCCGCCCAGTGGCGCTCCACCGCCGCCGCCACCGGCGCCCCCGAGGATGACGCCGCGCGCCGATCCTACGCCCGAGTAGCGCGAGTCGACGTGCGTGTTCGCCGCCTGCACGCGCAGCGTGTACGACTCCCGGTTCTCGAAGTCCAGCGGCTGCGTGGGACACACGCGCACACGCGGGGCAAGGTCACACGCGGGGAAAGGTCACACGCGAGACAAGGTCACACGCGGGACAAGGTCAAGCACACACACGCGGGAAAAGGTCACACGCACACACGCACACACGCAGGAGAAGGTCACACGCACACACGCGGGACAAGGTCACACGCACACACGCGGGACAAGGTCAAACACACACGAGGGACAAGGTCACACACACACACGAGGGATAAGGTCACACGCACACGCGGGACAAGGTCAAACACACACGAGGGACAAGGTCACACACACACACACACACGAGGAACAAGGTCACACACACACGTGGGACAAGGTCACACACGCGGGACAAGGTCACACACACACACGAGGGACAAGGTCACACACACACACGCGGGACAAGGTCACACACACACACACACGTGGGACAAGGTCACACACACATTGGGACAAGGTCACACGTTTAGCCTAAAGATGGGTCGCCACCGGAGTGATCAATTGCGCGATACGGTTGCAGGCAAATCGATCGCTGCGACTAGCAGTTGAGTAATTGGTTGCTTGCAGCATAAACGGGCTGCTTTCAGGCGAACTCTAAGTGGTTGCTGCGATTCCTGAATGTGCTCTTTAAATGTTCTTGTCGTGCAACTCCTCGCTCAGATGTGGGCAAGGCAGTCGCAGGCAAATTTCTAGAGCGACTCAGTCGTGCACGGGAGCCGAATGCCAATGTCGCGGTCTACCAGCCACGACGTGAGGGCTTCGGGAGAGAGGTCGTTTAGCAAGGAGCACCGACCTACAGTGGTTTGCTTTATGGTTCATAGTATGGGCTGCATGACCACAATCAGTTGTGCAAATGATCAGCCAGGTGTGCACCAGGTTTCATAGCGTCTTCAGCATGAGGCAATGTTGGTATAACTGCATACACGTGCGGTTGTTCTCTGTGTATGTTTATTCGTATTCATTGGTTGTCTTGGAAAACTGTTTTGATTCTCAGTTCAGGTGCTGCTAACCATGTCCAGTGCCATGGTCAATTGCGCTTCTTAATTCTGGCGGCGCTCCGTGACTTGTGCTTTAGCATTTTCAGGCAAAATATCAAGTCAGAAATAATGACAATGATCATCGTCATCATCATCATTACCATAATCAGTTTCAGTTGATTTATTTTGGTATAGCCCTGTGAGCCATTCGGCTCTTGAATCGGGTGCAACCACAACAAACAAAAAAACCGAACAAGAAAAACATCTTGAAGTGACTATGTGACTGTGCAAACAGAAAATCCATGACAAAAAAACAGCAAAAATATTCCTGAAAAAAAGCACCGTACACCAACGCTGTGCAAAAAAATCCCATGATCTATCCACAGGCTTCTGAAAAAACCGTGAGATGGGGAATTTTTTTAAATGATTGAATTGGTTATAGCCTTGCTTTGGTCATTGGCCAAAACCTTGTTTAGCCCGAATATAAAACGCTACAAACATGTATAATTTGCAACTATTCTCTGTCGATCCACTCCTGGATAAATGCCTTCACGACGTATTTGGTAATACGGGGCTGTTACACCACATTTAACCACCACCATGCTGCCCATTGCGGATTGGTGCAGATAATCCGTAAATATAAAAGTATTGGACCTTCAAAGAAGAAAAAAAGGCTCCTGCACTTTCATTTAAAAGGCCGGCGAGTGGAAAGGTGGACGGTGGCAGACTTATAGCCTGCCATACATTTATCCTGCTTTACTCTTGATCTCCTTTTCTCCCACACATCCATCTCTTACCTCTCCCCCCCCCACTCCCACACACAAACCCTACGGGTATCATGCAGAACGCGGTTCTGTTTTCAATAGTCTTTGAAGGTCATTAACACGATGGGAATAATTTAGTTGTTCTCTCCAACGCTTTATCTGACATTTACTCCATAATTTATTTCAATTAAGCCAAAAGCAGGCATCGTTCTCACATTTTTGCCTACGTTTTACCGCGTTCCGCTGGTCACAAGGAGCATTGCATACGAGCTCTCACACCCACACACACACTGTGTACAGTGTATATATCAACGTACTGCTGATTCATCAAGTTAATGCACATCCACTCCGGAACATAATAATAATTATTATTATTATACAAAACTAATTTTCAGACGGTAAAAGTCTCAATTGTTATGACAATATGCTGGGGAGTGAATAATGAACTTTTTTCTTGTAAGATAAAACCTTGAGCTCTTTGCGAATTTCCACGTGACCACGGTCAAAACTTGCCAAAATTAGAGAATACATATTGTCCGTCTCCCACCCACCCCCATACCCTGCCCGGCCCTGACAGACACAACCCCAGTGAGGATATAAAAAAAGCCATATGTTCTTATTCATCATGTAGAGTTGAAGCATATGGTTATGTTTAATGGAAACAAGACAAGCCTTTGGCAGTGATGCTGCAAATGAACGGCATGAATGCTGATTGGGAGATTCTTGGTCGTAATCGCAGGATCGCTTGTGGATAGCAGCAGAGCTCTGCAGGGCCAAATCAGTCAGCTTCCACGATCAAAACATACATCAACGCTCCCTCGGGGAAATAGGGCTTTGGGAAATCTGAATGGGTGTGAATTCACACAGCGGGCTTGCGCCGTTGCTGAATAACATTACGTTTGTGGGTGACGAATGCATGAGCGGTGAGGATTGTGATGGCATCATTAGGAGTCAGATGCTTGGCAGATATTAATGATGCCCGTCGGGAATGTTCTCCCGATGCGCATCGGAATCGTTCGCTGTCTCCCCGCTGGTTTCGTAAAGCAGCATTCTAGGATTCCGTAGGTTTCATATCTTCGATGCAGGAGCGGGTTGTTGAGGACCCTGGTGTGGAATTTTAATGACGTTGCGGTTGAAATTATGCACGGAATTGACGCTTGAAAAAAAGAACTATAGCAAAAAATTCGGCCACTTTAATTGGAAATCGTTCCTCGAATTCTGCGCGTTAATCATGCCTGGGACGTTCGCCTGCGTTCTTACTAACTACGATCCACGGTGAAATGAACAAAAAGAAGTGCGTACTTAAGTGCAGAACAAGAGACAGAACTTTCAAAGGGAACATCAGCAGTACAATCAAATAGATACATGTGGTGAGCTTTAATTTGTGACGCAAAAAAATAATTAAAGAGAAGCCCCTACGATTTGTTTAAGTCTCGGTGTGCGCAATAGGTGCGGCACCAATACATCGTGCGCCGGACGCACGACAAAAAACAAATGGCACTCCACTGCATACAAAGGAGACGCTGCCACTCCAGTTGATGCCTATCGTTGAAATGACTTGCGTTATCAGTCACTGCAAGGGAGTAAAGGTGAATTGTGATGCGGGACTTTGCTCTAAGTTTGACTTGTGCATCCGGAGCCATTGACTAAACATTCCATAAAATTTCCTCCTTCAAGTGCAATCGCACGATAAACATTTGCCCCCGTATTTTCGTGTAAGCCCGCAGTTAGTGGTGGAAGACGTAATAATTTTGAAGCCTCATGAGGGTCCTGGCTTCAAGACAATTTTGGTCAATTCCACTGCTTTCATGAACCCGCTTCACAACAGCAAGAACCGGAGTCCCCAGGGAACACGCGCACACACAAACAAGAAGATAATACTCGAAACATCACACAAGAGGCAGCCGTTCAGGAACACGAAATGCTATGCCGCAGCAGATGCGACCAAGTGCCTGTACAGAACTCACAGCATCATTCTGGATGTGTAAATTCCCACGTGCATTCCAATGTGTAAATAGCCACGAGTATCCACGTGTCACCGCGTGTCCCCGTGTTTACCTATGCACATGTCTTTGTTTGTTACCACGAGCATCTCAGTGTGCCTCTGTAAGTTCCAGTGTGTCACTGTGCAAATTCCTGTGTGCGCGTCTCCATTTGTGTCAGTTTTTTTCCCCAAGGGTATATCATGGGTCTGAGTGTGTCACCGTATGTTCCCATGTTTGTGTCCTTGTGTGTGTCCCTGTGTGTCTCTGCCTCTGCCCATGCGTGGCCTTGCTTGCCTAAAATTGTGTTAAGCTGTGCCCTCCGGACGCGTTCCCCTCGGGTCCCCGCGTGTCTCCGTTGCCCCTCGATCTGTGCCACCTTGTGTTTCCAATGTGCATCCCCATGCATCCCCACGTCCGTCTCCATGCGTGCGCGGGCTTCACCGCGAGCACCGCACCTCGTGTTCCCTGTGCACTGGGAGTTAGACCCGGCTGGAGATTGGGGGGGGGGGGGTGTGTCGGGGGAGGGGCGAGGGCAGGCACCTTCTTGAGGGTGATGACGGCCTCCTGCGTGTCGGAGTCCGTGGTGACGTCAAACATGCCCGGAGCGTCGGATTCGATCAGCGTGTACGCCATGGCGGCGTTCTCCCCGACGTCGGCGTCGTCCGCGCGGATCCTTCCGACCACGGAGCGGACGCCCGCCGCCTCCGACACGGACAGCGGGTACGTGCCTGCTCGCACGCGGACGCACGCACGAACCAACACACGTGCGGACACGCCGGGGTTAGGGTGCAGGGAGAAACAGGATAGTGAGGCGGAGGAGGAGGAGGAGAGAGAACTGGAAGGGGAGGAATGATGGGGCCCGCAGCAAGGGAAGAGGAGCTCGACATAAGTTTTGTTTACCCAGGAAAGCCAACCCGAGTCTCAGATCCTGCCTAGTTATGCATCGGCGGGGAAATGTTGCTCTGTTTTCATTTAGCAATTTCCTGTAACTTCAAAGTTGGTAAATATGGTCGCAATAATTATTATTGTAAAAAAAAAATACAAATTATTATGACTTTGTTTCCTGAATAAAGCGCCAATTTTTCTGGAGGCTTCTGCTTTGCAATATACGAGGTGCGATCAACAACCTACATGCTGTATTAATTGTACTGCTTCCTGTCCTGGCGATGCTCATCTCACCCAGGATAATCGACCTGTTTCTTTTTTGTTTGTTTTAAAGATGATGAAACCTTTTTGAAGAATAAAGTTGTCAAATCAAACGAATTGGGGGAACAAGAGGAATGCCATTTCTGCCCATCGCATTGTCCCATTAAATGGATGCTCCGAAGCCCTTAACCACATTTGAAACTCATGGGCAGCTGAAATCGCAACGTTGCGCAAATGCAACGCCCGCTTCCGTAGCAGCATTTGAACTAACTATTAGCGTGCCGTGAGCGTGCCTTAACAAACATTAAAATTCAAGTCATCAGAAGCCGCAAAAAAAACAGGAACAGCATGAGAAATAAGGCAAATCATCATCACGGAATGGCGCAAGTTGCTGTAATCAAAATATGCCGTTAATATTCAGCAGCATGCTGTCCAAATGGTGAAGCAGTGCCCTGTCGTTTTATGCTTTTTTTGAGGTATTAGCTGTCACAACTGCCATCGATGTTGGATTAGGTTGCATGATGTATATGTGCATGCTGCGTAATGTTTTCATGCATTTATGTTAGTAATTTATATGGGTTTGCATTGGGAACATTGGAAAACACCATGGTGATTCTTCAATTTCAGATTTATATTTTTTAAACCGGGTTGCCTATTTGACGTGTAAACACAATTTGCAAGTGAAGGATGCAAAGCAACAGTGCGCCAATTTTAAACAATGCAGTCGACAACCTGCCATCATATAAAACCATTCCAAATAAATAGATAAATAACAACGTCCAAAAAAGTCCCAAATCATAAATTGGAGAAAGCAAATGCCAATTGAAAAACCACAGCGAGTGTTCATTTTACTTCTCATAACTGTGTTGTATTACGTGCACGTTGTTTGTGTGCCACTTATTTGACTTGAAGTTATTTTGATCTTGTAGTTGCCTCTCACTTCAAAGCAAGGGCATCTCAACGCAGTCTCTCAACAAGGAGGAAGATTCCTTTCTTTATGTTATTGACTGCAATCTATTGTTTGGTATGTTTGTGAAAATACGGTGTTTGACTTGAATTTGGTAATATGAGAGGTTTTTTTGTGGGGGTTAGATCACGTAAATATTATAAATGTGTCATTAAAACCCGCCACCACCCGACACAGCCAACTAGTAAGGGTTGTCACGTTAACAGAACGTGGCCAATTCGTCACGAGTACAGCACACCGGTGTGTTGGAGAGCCAAGCCACAACATTTACAATAATTTATTATGATTTCCAACCCTTTGTTAATCCACTACTGGCCAAAAGCATTCCGATGCCACATTGGTCACGTGGGTTGTTTGACCATACTTCACCGTGTTAGCCAGTGCGGGTTTGGGGGGAGAGCTCAGGACCGGCTCAGATATCACCCGCCACTGATGTTACCCATGGCTGGGAATTGAACACGAGAAACCTGGTTTTATGATGCGGAGTATGAACCACTGAACCACCACTCTCCACCCAGTATCATTCTTCAAAAACATTTCAAAACAATCCATTGATGTTAAGGTCGCGTACAAAGTATTGTGTTCGAGGCTGAGCATGCATTCAATAACCTTTCCTCAAGAGCCTTTCCGTACCTCGAACACGCAACGTAAATACATGAAAATGAATACACAAGTGTGCGTACCACCAAAGCACTGAAGAGTGTAGATTGTTTTAACCCGTGATGGCGCGCCGTTCCGCTCAAAACAAATGGATTTTCATCATGAGAGGCCGCGCAATTTGATCCTTATTTCCCCCATGGCGAAAGCGCGTGCATCAACGGCTGAACTCGACGAGCGTGGAGCGTGGCCGACCACGGCACGAAGGATCAAAAGCGACGCCTCACGTCTCCAATTCGGGACGCGCCGCTCGCCGCGCTCTGCAGCAAAAGAGAAATGCCTCGGACGCAACAGCGGAGAGTAACGCGCCGCCACCTAAACGGGGGATGTTGTCGGCAATTCCATGTTGCATGGCCCTGGATTATATAATTGCTTGGAAAGCTTTCAATGCGTTAATTACGCGCAGTAGACCAGGCACCACGAGAGGCAACAAAGAGGATTTATTTTTTACTCCCATTGTGGTTGAAGACGCGACCCCTGACGATTGGACATTAGGGAAACAGACAAGCTTTATTATACCATAGAGTGCATCTGAAACATTTAGGAACATAATTGCTTAGATATTTACATTTTCAGATAAGGGCGTTTTACATACGAAGCACTGCTCTGAGACTTTTGAGTGGAGGTGATGAAACTGAAGGTTATTCATATGATTCAATAAATTGCAAATGTTGCATTCATTTCCAGCATAATTTAACTTTTGAATATTAATCGTGACAGGGGAGCAGGCAGATGTAAAAAGCTGTGCATTTCAAAGAGACGAACAAATCATGCCGGCCCGGTTGCCTGGTGTTAAGCACCAACGCTTTGGAGGAATGCAATTAACATGATCGATCTCTCAGCGAGACGAAAATCCACCAGGAGTGTAAAAGTGAAATTCTGAACTCTCTGAGTAAAGGCTGGCCTGCAGAGCAGTAGATCTTCCAAGATGATTTTAGTAAAATTAGCGCCGACTCAAAAGGTTCTGCGGCTTGGCGGCATCGTGCAGCATAATTTTGTAACTGCAAGCATTTCACTTTGGTGTTTATTGATGGCAGTGATTGATCTCTATCAGACTATGTATTCATACTGATAGAATCCGATGAGCTATAATGCTCTTTTTCACATATGTCCAGTAGGGGCGGGTGAGAAAGTTACAACAACAATCGATACTAAAAGACAAAGTGAGTGCAGAGTATAGAAAAGGTAAGATAATCACACGAAAAAACTTTTTTTTTTATTTTACCAGGTAAAGTCCACTGAGCTATTAGCTTCTTTTTTCAGAAGCAACCTGGTCACAGATAATAGCTCAACGAAGCGGCTTATCATCACGTGGAAATTCATAGCAGACAAGCAATCTAAACGCGCGTTTCTAAATATGGAGGGGAAAAACCGGACAACCCAGAGACAATATATCCACGCGACCACGTGGAGAAATCTCCATGACGATAATGACCACGGCAGATCGCTATCCTTACAATTCTTTAAAACACACGCGACAAGCAAGACTGCCTCTGTAGGTCTGAATTTTTTTTGTAAGTTAGTCTTTTCTTATTTAAACATTCACCAGAAACTTAAACTCAATTGGTGATCTTGAGCTGATGGTATTAAAGTCGACGTAATTTAGGTGAGAACCCATCTACCATTATACAATCGCAGTTGAGTGGTAGACATTTTATAAAAAAAAAAAACATTGTGGGATGACATGACCAGAATCAGAGAAGGTAAAAATTTAATTTTCTATCCTTTAGTTTATATCCTTGATTTACCCACCCCTTCATTGAACAAGGTAGCCCAGGGAGGTCTTCATCAAGGAGTAGAGTGGTAGTACAGTGGTTAGCGCACTTAATTTGGCTGAATTCATGCTCTGTGAATTAAAGTATCGGTTTGAGCATCATACGACGAGCATTACTCTCGTATGTCAGAGCGAGTGGGAAAGTTGCTGTCTGTTGTGTGTGGACCAGGTGACTGGAAGACGGAATCTCAGAGGTAGCTCTGTGACATCTGCTTCCGCAGGCCCGTTCTCCAACACCAAGGGGCTCATGCACTGCCCTGTGCGATTTCTACGAACGCTTTTCCTTCTGACAATAGGAAGCCCCTGGAGCTATGCACTTTTAAATCTAGATTGAAAATTAATTTCTTTAGAACTGATTTTTGTGTTTAGTTTGTTGCCCTTCCCCCGCCCCCCCCCCCACACTTCCAATTAGCACGATCTGCTACGTACTGTGTGAAAGAAGTTCAACATACAAACATTGCAGTATGAACCGGGCAACCTGCATGTGATACTCAGCCACGACTAACACAGCGGTGAGCGACATATCAACTGCTCCTGGCCCCACCCCATTGACCGACCTGTACCAGACATCGTGATGAAGTAAGGTCAAACAACTCCAATGAGTGACAAGGCATAGAAGGTGGGGGAGGATCCATCCAGCTGTGAATTGATAAAGGGACCTACACTATTAATTAAAGCATGCTGGATCCCACTGAGATACGCATCTCTTTCTCAAGGGTGTCCTGGGAAATATGTAGTGAACGTTAGAGGTTCAAAGTTATAAGGAACAAAGCCATTATAAACAACTTAAACTCACAAGCTCTCGACTGGATCCTCTGATCGACTAATTGAACTACACCATTCCCCCATCCAAGGACGTTCTGCACACATAAAATAATTTCCAGCCACTGGATGCCGCGTTGCCTATGGGAGGGACCCGACGATGACGAACAATCCAGCGCGTAGCCGTTGCATCGCGCGCTCGTAGCGGGAAGCACTGCGCGGTTTTTGATCTCTTCGGCGGATGGAAAGCCACGTGGAAATTTGAGCCACCCCGCCTATCCGCTTTCGCTGTCTCAGCACAAGTGTGCGGGCAATTTGAGCAGAGATCTGCCACCAGCATGGGGTGGGTGAAAAAAAAAAACCAAGCGGGATGCGAATGTAAATATATAAATATTTACGTGATCAAAACAAACAGCTGAGCAGCAACAGACCACCAGCCAGAGCCGTGGGCAGGATTGCAAAAGTTTTGATTTTAGAAGTTTACTTCTTTGCTGTTGACCTTAATATTTTTGTCTAAGAGATTAAAGTGAATTTAAACATGATCTGATGAGACGGCCGTCACCAAGGATTCAGGCAAATTTGTTGCAATTAAAAGAGAATGTAAGTGTATACATGAAGTTAATATATACACACACAACTGCGAGTGAGTGAGTGACTTGATATAAATTATAATGATGGTCGAGCACCGATAGAATAAGATGAAGTTTGGCGCAAACATATTTTTTAGTCTAAACTTATAACGAAATATTAGAAAAGCTACATTTTCTAATTTGGCCACAAATAATGAATGCTCCGAGTTTGACTGGTTTCACGGACAGGGGAGGGGCATCTTGAAGTTGTATATTGCTTTATCCCAAGGATAAGTGCCTTAAGTAGTTTGCCTTTCATAGAATTGTGATGCTCAAGCCGACAGAAAGAGGATAGAGACCAATCACAATTATTGGTCTAAATATCAATAATTCTTTATTTTACGTGCCAATCTCGCTCTCAATAAAGTAGGCATCAGTGCACACGAGCAATGAGTAATCTTACAAAAGTTCACATTATCTTGTCTAACCTTGAAAGTCTCGAAGTTCCTGGAGGTATTCCCTGCATTGGCTGTCCCTCCATCATGAATCTCGAACTTTGGTAAACATTCCTTCTTGCGATGTGTCCTGACTTATCCCACTTACCTCTTTTTAACAGTTAAAAATAACGGCTATAATTCTATCCATTATAATTTGTGTTCTCCGATCCGCAAAAAACCTCTTTTTTATTTTCCAAACCAAGACTCACTGAGCAGTGAAGCTATCTCTCAGAAGCGAACTGGCCACAAATGATAGCTCAACGAAGTGGCTTATCACGTGGACATTTTATAGCAGCCAAATACTCTTCAACGCTTGTTGATTCTAAATGGAGGGCAAAACCGGAGGACTCGGATACAAATCCACATGACCAAGGGGAGAACATGCAAACTCCAAATATACAAGCGTCAGGGTCGGGATCAAACTCACGACATCCTGTATACAAGGGGAGGTAGTTAACATCTCGCCACCGCGGAATCCCTATTATTTTGGGTCTCAGTGTAAGTTGCAAGCAGGCGCCTCTCCATTCCTCTGTGCACTTTTCAGCTTTTGTTTCATTTCCTTTGTCAACGTCCACGTTTTTGAAGCATGTGTCATAGCAGAATCACATGCACTCATTGAGACATTGCTTCTTTCAGGCACAACGGTCTTTTGCTTTTCACGATAATTTTTTTTTGTTATTGCTCCACTCTTCTCTCACTCACCTATTCATGAGTAATTTCAATCCCACCTTCTGTACTTTCACTGGATAACACACACTCCGATGCGCTTTCCAGCTGCCAATCAACTATCTTCATTATGTTAGCAAACTTGGTGTGCATTACTTTTTCCTATTTTAATCGAGCCAAATTGTGCAGCCTCATTTAGTGAGTTCCTCCATCACATTGTGTAACATTCATTTCCGCAGGTTTTTTTTTGAATGACTATGTCGTCGAAAAAAAAAATCCGAGACGGTTAATAACTTCTCCATGTAGGTGTATGATTTTATAGTTCTCCCCAATCCAATTATCAGGAAAACATCTTCTAATAATTGACGCGAATAACTTTGGCAACCATGCAACAAAAACTATCGATCGTATTCTGGAAAAGTTAAATGGATATCAAATGACATTATTGTCTAGTCTTTGTAGTCAATGAAAAGGCATTTGATCGCTATGGAATGTGTTGCCATCATCCCAGGCTTTCAGAAATAATACATTTAAAAGTATATATTTCATAAATAATAAAAACCATCCACAATAATGGAACACCAATGCTGAGAATGCACGAAGAAATTAACACGATACATAACACAAGGATTCAAGCAAGGAGATACATTTGCCCTTCATGTGTAATAAATGCATATTTATGCGTATAAAAAAAAAACTTGAAAAGCACTTTTGGTTTATATCTGAATCACATCCAATCAAACTTTTTGCAATTGTTTTTATTGGATCAGATTATTAGATCACTGAGCAAGGATCAGAAGATTATTTTAACAAGATCAGGTCATCATGGGACCTCCTTTGCCAGTACAAAAATATGAGAATAGGTTTTCCCCTTCTTTCTGGCAACAAAACAGCTGTGTTAAGATGTTAAAACACCAAACTGGAACCTTTTACAAGGAATCATGTGTGCATTAACCACAATACTTGTGGTCAGAATGCAAACAAAAAACATACTCTGATAATATGATGCATTGTCTTTGAAACTGATTGGTCCACACCAGAGACAGCTTTCTTTTGAGCCTCGTCTCAAACGGTGTTAGATCAGTCTAAAAAAACTGTACTCATGCAACACCCCAATAAACAACATAAACCACAGGGTAAAAGTGCGATAAAATCAATAAATTCATGACTCAAATCATCACCCCAAATCATATAATCAAATCGTTGTTTTGATGGGGCATGGTGGTGGGGGCGTTGAAAAAATAAAGATCTGTGTATCGATGTTTATAGATTGTGGAGGAAGGCGCTCTGAGTGACAACCTAATGAAGGCCAGCACAGCACAAGGTGAGGTGGGGGGTGGGGTTGGTCTGGAACGCACCATGCCTCCTTTGTCTCCCTATTGCTGATTTTCACACACACACACTGGCTCCAGATACTCGTTTGTGCTGAGTAGACGGCATGCTAACTACGGCAGAGAGATTTCTGCAAGTCAGCGGGACATGTCGATAACTTTCATTTGAAAGTCATTTGGTCAGGTTTTTAATGTCATACATTTCCTTAAGTTAGATTAAATATGTTGTCTATAAATACAGATAAAGAGTATGTATCATTTTCAATTTGACTACAACAAAATCGCTGCCATTCACACACTTGTCCAGGTAATTATTTTATGCCGAGTCAACCTAAGGGATGCCCAGAACAGGTTCAGATATCATTGTCTGCTGATGTGAGCCATGGCCGGGATTTAAACCCAGGAAACCGTGTTTGAAGTGAGGTGCGCTAACCACTATGCCACTACTTCCCTCGTGCCTACATACCCACTAACAATCACAATTACGCAACACAATGTTACGGTGATGAAAATGGACTTGCAAATCCAGAGGTCGTCAGCTCAGTCCCCCCCCCCCCCCCCCAAAGGAGAAACCGTGACAAAACATTGCCCCAGCTGCTGTCCACCCTGCAGTATAAATTCGGTACACCGCAGCCCGTCGATTGGCAGGTCGAATTTGGTGGGGTAGAGCGTTGGGCACTCTCCATCCTCTTCCGAGATGTCTGGCCGGTGTGCAAGATTCGGCCAAAACATCCTCTCCCTGCTCTCCCTCGAGCGGAGACTTTCCCTCCAGCAGTCGGTGGTTGTGAGCGAGTGACGACCGCAGGACCGCAGCCCCCTCCCCCCCCTCCCCCCTTCTCTATTTTTTTTCGCCCGCGTCTTTACGCACCGCACGGCTTGCAATGCGTTTGCGGGAGACTTGCGCAGAACGACGGAGGAACTCACTGCGAGCGAACTTGGGCGGGTTGTCGTTGACGTCGGACAGCGAGATGGTGACGGTGGTCGTGCCGCTGAGGCCACCCTGGTGGCCGCCCATGTCCTTGCCCTGGATCACGACGCGGTATTCCTCCCGCGCCTCGCGATCCATGTTGGGCAACGCCGTGCGGATCTCACCTGGGAAGGGGGGGGTAAGGGGATGCCGGTGAAGAAAGGTGATTAACGATCAACGACAAAAGGAAACGCACATTCGGCTCATTTGGGCAAATTTATTTTCCGGAGTCGCCTCCACCCCCTCCCGTGCCGCCCAGGTAACAAAATGAGGGATTGAAGTGTTAACTGGAGGTGATGATTTTCTTTCCTTTTCCAAAGCTCCGTAGTTCCAAAGGTTACACTGACTGTCAAGGTCGCAGTGATTTCCTGCCCAATTGAGCATGGGGTGGTGCTAATCCCATGCTTACAGCCCTGAGCCAGTGATGGAAATTCTACTTTCCTGTAAAATAAATGACACTTTCCATCGGACAACCACTGTAGACTTCCCAAACAAAGTGGTACTTTTTATTATTTACCCCCGGAGACATAAATCCCTGATTCGATCCCTGACCGGGATTTGAATTCGCAACCTCCCGATTGAAAATCATGCACTCTACCACCCCACCACCCGACTGGATTAGAATGTTTGAAACAGCCGCCGTATTAAGCATTCATGCACCGCACCGCCAATGGCGGGGACTATGAGAAAAAAGGGCGCTTGCATCCTCGATAGCACGAGGGAACGATTGCACTCGAATTCCATTCCAGCTGCCCCACGTGGGTAGGAGGAGACAATGGCGCGGTGCAAACGAAATTGCCACTTGCGGCACAATTTGCGTGGAGAGGACAAACATCACGGAGTGTCCTTCACATCTTTCCAGCCCTCCGTCACCGCATATCCCCTCCACACACCGAGCCAAAGGTTACATTCATAGGGCTCATGAAATATTTTCAATATTCATGGTAGCTCTCCTATGCTGCGCTGTCATCCGTCAAATCTCCTTGGCTCATTGCTGGGAAATTAAAAAATTAAAACGGTCAGCGGCACCGGCCGTCACCGCTTTGCCCGCGTGACAGCTGTAGCGGGAGCCCTAATGTGCAATTAATGTCAAAAGGCTGCCCGTGGAAATCTTACATCCACCCAACATATTTCCAGAGTCAAGAAATCGTAGCCACCCCCCCCTCCCCCTGAGCGGTAGAGGGCACGTTTTAGTTTTTGCTCCTGCGCTCACGCAACGCCAGCATGATCCCTTCAGTAACCTTTATATAACCCCGGAATCGAATTCACCCATTGGGACACATTGAAGCGTCATTGCCTCTTTCGCAAGGGTGACCTGGCTTACATTAAAATCATTTTTAAGAAGACAAATATCTTTCAAACATTTGAAAATGAAAACATTTTGAATAAATGTTCGGCCAATTGCGCTTCTTTTTTTTTACTTTAAACACTACAAGACATATAACGTAAGTGTCTGATGTTTAGTCCAAATGTTTTCGTTGACAAAATGTTCCTGACGCTGGCTTTAACTTAATATCTTAAATAAAGAAAAAAAACATTTTATTCGAAATAATTTTAACCAGCGACAGAATTGGGGACAGTTTCACTTCACCACCATTTTTCTTCCCCGGTGGGCAGCTGCACATTTCCAGACGTACATTTCAAACACATTTCAGAGGCTTTCAAGGTCATTAGTGTATATCGCCAAGTGGCTTTTTACTCTGGGAAAGTATGTCATCCCAATTAGGACTGTAATTCGGGCAGAAATTATGTTTCCACCATTCTCGATATGGGAATAATGCACATAAAATACCACCGTGTCAGACATGCCCAGATGAAGTGATGTTTTTCATCTGCGGTTAAATGGCGTGGATGTATTGAGATGCCGTGTAATTTTAGCACCCAATAAATGCAAATCCTTATTTAAAAAAAATTCGCACGTGCCAAACAAGTTAATTATTCCATAAATACGCCGTATTTTCTAAACCTGTAGAGAAATGCCTTGCAATTGACAACCCCCACGTGCATGACTAGGACGACACCGAAGGTTAGACCGTCGGAGGCTGTTGAAATGTTATCGAACTGCGCCACGGTGCTCCTCACCAGTGTGTGGATCCACAGAGAAGTAGGGGTGCCCTTCAAGCAGGCTGTACACCACGCGAGCGCTGCTCCCGTACGTCGGGTCGTCTGCGTCCGTGGCGGTGACGCGGATCACGGGTGTACCTGCAAGGGCCATCAAACTCCACGTTCACGCCTTCTCTTCTCCACGCTTCAAATTAATGTTTCAAAAAAATCGATTTACACTTCCACCTCCCCATCGCATCACCGCATCACCCATCACCCCAATGGGTTGCAACGTGGTCATTCGTGCCAGTGTGGATTTCCAGAATCAATTTTGGAATTCAAAAGCCGAAAAGATGCTCCACTCAAACACATGGCAAAGTGTCATGCCGTGGCATGGTGCGGCATGAGATGACCAGGTGGAAATTCGTGAACGTGTTGCAAACGTAGAGAAGACAAAACATTCGCATCAAAGTGCGGTCATGCCGATGCGCTATTTACGTTCAGAATAAATTACGAAATTAGCTGCGAAAATGAGTCTGTCGGGCTGGGATGCATGCCCTCCATCAGGACTTTTTACTTTATTCATTCTCAGTATTGGACCCAAAAGTCTATAAAATAAACGCGGCAAAGCACACATACATACATACACACCAGAAAAATGATACACACACACACAGAACGCCCAACTCTCTAATCATTGTTGTTCCTCCACTGCAGGGGATATGAGCTAAAAGCTGACCAGTAATTGGTTTTCTAAAAATTTACCAAAATAGATTTCAGACACAGGGGACACTTAAGAAAACTCAATTATGGGAAAGGAAACAGGCATCCACGCATCTCAGAGTGTGCCACTTCCTAAGAAGTAGTGCAATTTGTATTTGCTTAAGGACCAAAGGTACAGAAGCTAAGATACGGATTGGAATGAAAATGTTAACTTGACGCGAGGCTGCCATCGGTCTCCTCCAGAGCTCGCACGCGCAACACCAGCTACACATTTGAATTACATTTGGTCCAGGTGGAGGTGCTCTCTGCGTACTTATTTTAGGCCCAATCTACCTTGGGGTGGTCACTTAAATATATTTGCTTATTTACCCAATCATTGTTATTATTACGATTACTATTGTAAACCAATTCTTTGTTACGATTAACTGCTAAGAATAAAAACACATGCCTCATTTCTGGACACTCTGTGCACACACAACGGCAGTATACTCATTTGTGTGTAAAAAAAAAGTGAATAACAAAAAATTCCCGAAATCAGCAGCTGGATTTTTGTAGAGAGCGCAAGCCAAATGTGCACGCGCGCAACCAAACGGCATTCGTTCTGTTCGGTTTTCCTCCCTTTTTTCAGGTTAAGTCAGATCACCTCTTTGACCTCATCAGGGGCTTAGTTCCACATCAGAGCGTCCATGCCGATAAAATCAAGTTCGGAACATCATCCATTCAATTACAGCCGCCACTGGAAGCGATGATACCTGGATTTTCCTCTAACATGCAGCTTAGTTCAGCCGGCTGCGCTCACAAACAAAACACTATCTCGCGTGTGGATTTTAATCCAGACTAACAGATTACGAGGTTTTTTGTTTGTTTGTTTGCCGGGAGTCCAAACAGCTAAGCGAGCAAACGGCTGGGCTGGTTCTGCGTGTGCCGTTTCCTTTTCCGTGCTCGCACAACGAGGAGGAAGAAACGCGAGTGTGACTGCTTCATTAGGACATAACGGCCAGTGGGTTAAATAAATGACAAATATCCCCACACGAAGAAGAAGAAGACCATGCTATGGCATTAATGGGCATTTCTCACCACATTTGCGGCCCTTCCCTTCAGCACCGCTCTGAAAGTGATTTTGGGTGAATTTAAGCTACGGCACGTGCGTTGTGACATGTTCATTTCAATTAGGGTCCAAACTATTTTCGGTAAGCTCAGCTACGGATAATGAATGTATTTATAACCAAGCACGCCATTGTACACACGAAATCACGCACGGTTCTCATGAAGCCTAAAGCGACTATTTATCAACGTAGCCATATATTATGAATAAATAGGCTTCAATTGACAGTGTGATAATTTTCACAGAAATTATTTGAAGATGCAAAGCATTCCTTTACTATTCTGCCCCGACCCCCCCCCCCCCCTCTCAATATAATGTTGAAACACGTGGCAGATCAGTCTAATTAATAATAATAAACATACTAATACTTTTCAGCTCTTTCTCGATCAACTGCTGACAGCCTCCCCATGCATTTTATTTTACTACGAGGGCTAGTTGGCCATACTTCACTACGCCGGTCATTGCGGATTGTTGAGAGAAATAAAAAAACAGTTCACACATGACTTGCAACTGGAGCAAGTTGAGTCAGGTGGCTAGATTTATTGCAGCAAAGCACTCATTACTATGCCACCACTCCACCTCTCTCTTGGCTAATTAGGTTGCAGAGCATCAGATATAATGAGCGGTTAAGATCAGTGGATAGTATTCGCTCTCATTATTAGGAAGCCGTTGGAACTATGCATTTTTAAAAGCCGATTCAAAAATATTTTCTTTAGAACAGTTTGTTTTGTGTTTAGGTTGTTGTCCTTTACCCGCTGCTCCTATTAGCACGGTTGGCTACGCCCGGTGCAAAAGAAGTGCACCGCACATACATTGCCTTCATTTGTTTCGAAAAGGTTACGTATAATAATAACAATAACAAACTCTAGACACATCAACGTACCTGTGAAAAGCAGAGAATGTGTAAATTATTGCTAATCGTGTTTAAACAAGTCATTAGATTTTAAAATGCATAGCTCCAGTGGCCTCCTAATAAGGAGAGTGAATGCTTTCCCACTGGCCTTAAACGAGTGGTGAAGCACATCTTTGCACACAATTGCAGGGATATGCATGGGAGTGGCGTGCTAAACGCGTCCAAGAGTGGAGATGACGCGAGCTCCGATGATCGAACAGCAGTTGATGGATTATTTCCGCGTTTGCTCCACCCCATCAGGAGGTGGGGGGGGTTGTTAAAATGATCATGCAATCACGCGGGCACAGCCAGCCAGGGTCACTCCCCTTTAGGGCCAAAGCGTGGTTAATTGTTTGGCTGATTTGATGATGGAGGGGAGAAAGAATGGCTAATTTATCAAGTTGGGAGGCAGATCAAAAACACATGGGACACATTTGATTAACGCCACAGCTCGTGATGATGATGGAAGGCTGGTTAAGCAAAACAAAAACGAGACAGACGCTCTCCTTGAGCGGTGGATTTGTAAAAAGGCATTTTAAAGGCTTTTGAAAAATGAAATTCTATAATTGAAATTTCTATCCAAGGAAGATCACTTGTAACGATCGAATATATTCAGCGAGGGCAATCACCGAATGATACCACAGTCTCCTTGATCCAGCGTTAAAGGCGGGCGGCGGTCGTGGCACATGCTTGCGACCCAATACTGTGGGTCGCACAAACGTTGCGAAACTCCCTCGTACATATGCAAGTGTGTTGAACTTCTTTCGCACCGTACGTAGCCAACTGCGCTCATTGGTTGGGCGTCAAGATCACCATGTTCTGACTCGTCAGGAGATGGCGAGACAGCAAGTGAATGGATTTACTTTCTGTTTCCACATGTACGGGGACTGAGTGTACCGGTGTTTCCTTCCGATCGCATTAATCACTATTTAATGGAGTTGGGCAAACGTCCCAATCCAGGGCCGCAGACCTCGGGAAATTATTGACGTCAGTCCTGGCCGCCTTCCTGTACATCCGTGGTTTCCAATTCCTCTGAATCTAAGCAAAGTCAGAATCAGAATATTGATTTCACTGTGAGCATTACGAAATGTTTGACTGTAACCATTAAGCCACGTGTATTGCCTAACACATGGCTAGGGGAAAAAAAACAACAACCCCATTACAGTCGCAAGAAACAATAGGTGAGAGAGAGACAGCTTAATGCACTGCTGAAGCACCAGCAAGTTCATGCGATGTCGGAGACACGTGACATGCATGCGAGGCATGTCAGTGGCGTCTTGCTGTTTTGTGAGTGCACCTTTGTGTACTGTTATTTTCTGGAGCACGAGTTGAGTGACTAATTTGCGGGCCAGAAGAGGACGCAAAGGGGAAGTGTGATAAGCACCGCACAGGCCCGGTTGCCTTTGTTTCCCCGGGTTGTTAAGTTGACACATAGCACCAGCGGTGGAAATGGACCGGAACGCCCCGGAAGACCGTGGTGAGAGTGAACATTTCAACCAGACTGCGTTCCAGAAGGAATCAAGGATTAATCTCTATTTATTTGACTCGCAGATAGACTAAGAGAGAGACCCACAGACCCGCACAGAGACCCACCCCCACGGAGCGAAGTTCCTCCTCTTCAGATTTTTGGTGGGGGTGGGGGGAACCATTTATGAGTTCCCCCATTAATGTCTTCCCATTTCCAGACCTTCATAGCACCACCACTCATCGTGTAACGGGTTGATCGAGGGGAGGGGCCCACGTAATGCACAGGTAGGAATTGCTACCCATATTTGATACGTCCGAGAATAAAACCCTGATCGCCAATCATTGTCTCGGGGTTTACTAATTGTTCCATATGAGAGTGAAAATGATGTAATAAAAAAACAATGTCCCACCCCATCCTCACCACACACAATGCACAGAGTTATCGCCTCGCCTATTTAAGCCGGAATCGACGGACGAAGGGGTGGTGTGGCCAGAACTCTGCCCCATCACCTTTGTCTCCCCAGTGCTGATGTTAACGCACTGCACAAAGTATTAATTTAAGGCAGGGTGAGTTTTGGACCCTCCTTAGTACGTGTCGATAATTTTATCCCAGGCCGGGAATCCAACGCACATTGCTACGTCTGTACATAAACCAATGTCCACCATGGCTTCCCACACACACACACAACCAAAGATAGTCCATGTAGCCTCTTCAGGCTCTTAGGGCAAGTGGACCTATGAAGACTGGCACAGCACATGAAAGGGTGAGTAGACAACACCATATCCGAGCACCTTTTCCGGCCCAGTGATGATGTTTTAGAGACACTGCACCAGGTAATCATTAAGGCTGGGTCAACCTAGGGGAGGCCAGGGACCGTCTGTAACATTCACCACTGTTATTTTATCATCATCAGAACTTGAACGTGGGTTTCTAGGCTTGGCAGCACAGTGGACTACTATGGACATTACCACTCCCCAAAAGTTATCACTGCAATCAGACATTCACACACACGGACTCACCCTTGCACTCACTCAGACACACACTCACTCATACAAAGATCCCCTGTATAGCCTTACCAGACTGTTGGAGCAAATGCTGTTAGTGAGTACTTTTGAAGGATGGCATGGCACACGAGGGGGTGGATGGCCAACACCACGCCCGGCCGCCCTTTGTCTCCCCAGTAGTGATGTTTACAAATCGCACCGGTACTCATTTGAGGCCGAGTCGACCTATGGAAGACCCAGGACCGATTTAGATAACCATCACTGGTGTTGGCCATGGGCGGGAATCGAACTTGGCTCGCCGGGTTCGTAAGCGCACTCACCCGCACCCGCACTCACCCGCACTCACCCGCACGCTCACCCACCCACCCGCACGCTCACCCACCCGCACGCTCACCCACCCGCACGCTCACCCACCCACACGCGAATGCTACCGCGTCGCCAGCCACCTACCGACATTGGCCATCTCGGGCACCGAGGCGCGGTAGGGCCCCTCAAGGAAGCGGGGCTCGTTGTCGTTGACGTCCTGCACTTTGACGATGAACTCGGAGGGCGGCTCCATGGGGTGGCCCGTGCGACGGTCTATGGCCTGCGCCGTGAGCGTGTAGTAGGCCTGCTCTTCGCGGTCGAGCCGCCGCGTGGCGTGGACGTCTCCCGTGCGGTCGTCCACCACGAACAGCGTGCCCGCGCCGTCGCCCGACAGGATGTACTTGACCGAGCCATCGCCCTTGTCCGAGTCGGAGTGCAGCTGCGGGAGGACACCAACAACATCGACGACAACAATAAATGGCGTCTCGTCGAGGAGCATAGGCCATCACGCGAACTCGGGTCCATCCTCGCAGCAGCAGCAGCAGCAGCGGTTTTTGGCTGCTGGCCATCGAACTTAGACGGCCAACCGCATTGCGCGCTTTCAGATGCGCCTCTGCGGCCGCCTGGAACGCTCTTCCTTCCCATGTTAGGAAGCCACTGGAGCTATGCATTTTTTTTTAATCCACATTGAAAACTCATTTCATCAGGACTGCTTTTTGTGTTTGTTGTCCTTCCCCCGCACCTCGGATTGTCGTGGTTGACTACGTATGGTGCGAAATAAGTTCAACACACCTCCATACAACAACTGCAACGGCATAAACAACAATGGCACGAACAACAACGACATCACCAACATCAAGAGCAATAACAAGATCACCAGCACCAGATGCAACAATTCTAGCAACATCATTTGTGTGCTATGAAGAAAGGCCATTGTCTAAAACGTTGCCTATCATGTTGTTCTTTAAGGCCGCACTGTTACTGACCAGTGCGTTGAGTTTTTCCATCAAGTAAAATTAGATTTATATACCCATTATAAACGTCTATCACGAATCGATTTTAAATCCATACGTGCTGTATGTAATTCCTCCAATTGAGCCGCGCGCCCAGTAGTGGGGACTCCCCTTACACCACAAACGTACGGACGATGGCAGCGCTTTTTGAGTTGAATGGCGAACCCCCGAATCGTGATCCTTCAATGAATCACGATGATGGACGAAATCGTTCGCTTGCTACAAGCGAACACATGAGGGGGGGGCGGGGGGAGGGGGTTAGGTGGTCTGTCAGATGAAGCAGATGTATCGGCTGTATTTTGCCATCGTGCCAACTCGTTTGTTGCAGCTGCACTGACACCGTTCATCGTGAGTAATGGATGCTCCGCCTCCTGTTGTTATCGTATTGTGATTCAGAGCAAGTTGCTTGCGATTCAAAAGATCTCTGAGTTCAGTCGATACAAGTCAACGGTGGTTCCCCGATGGATATACTTTTTCCCCTTTTGCCAAATAAATTGTGGAGCTTTCACCACTTGTTCAGAGCTCTGAGCAGGATATTAGCACTGCCCCCGATGCTCGTTTGAGCAAGAAGTAACTTTAACTTGAAACTTTGACGAGATGACCAGGAGCACTGTTCAAATACGTGCTCCCACGAGTCCGGAATAATACGTTTTGCTTCTCAGCAATATTTCTCAGCTCCAGTTACACCTGTACCACACAATTATATAGATTATGAGTTTCCCCTGCATCTATTTGGTCCTGTCTACCTGGTTAGTGCTTATTTTCATTCAAAACAGCCAGAACACTATTCTGGGAACACTTTTTTTTGCACATCACATCCGTCCAATATCATTTTGTCTTAAACTTCCTCATACGATTATACGAATGTAGGGAGCACTGACATTGAGTAACTGACAGGTCTACCTTGTACTCTGATCATAGTAGCACAAAATGCCGATTAGCATTCCCGAAAAATATCGAATTAAAAATTAATCCCTGCTACCTTGCCAAGCGAAACCAATTTGGGCATGCAGGCTACGTGACCCAACTAGTGCTGCCTTCACCTGCTGGAGGTGCCTGCTGACAGGATGATGTTCAGCTCCTTCTAGAATCCGTGATTTTTTTTTCACATTAGCAAACCTGGCTAGAGTCCGGGGTGGACTACAGGCTAGACACGCTAAATGTTGCAAGCTGAGCCCAAATTTCAATGCCAATGCCATGGCAATGCTGGCAAGAAACACGGCGTGAAATCTTTCGTCGTTTGAGTTTAGTTCACGCTCAGAGGGAGCAGCTGTGGAGGTGGGAGGCCTCACATTAATGAGAGGGCGGGGTAATAATTTGTTGGTGGTAATAGGCTCCGTGGTGGTTTCCAGTTCATCTGCTACATTTTTATAATGCACACCAACACTCATCACCGTCAGCCATAATCAATCCACTGCTGAATGGATGCCTCCCCAAGTCACCATCTCTCACGGTTCTGCGATGTAAAAATCCATCTAGCACCTGTACCCGAGCTGATTGTATTTGCTCCGTCTCCTCGGAAGATGTGCACTTGGAGGCAATCGATTCCTACAAGCAATCATGTTGACGAGACAACTTATAGCGTAGCATTATACCTTTGCGAAATGCAAGAGCCATTTGATGTAAAACTATTATCTATCCAGGAAAGCTTCATTGAGTCACATGACTCCCCGTCAGGATGGTTCTGCATTTTGATGAACATTTATGATTATTTGGGAGGAAACCACGTTAAAATGTATTTACATGCACAGCCGCATGCCTACAACACCTGGCAAGTCTTGGTGGGCACCTATCCAAATAACAATCAGGCTCAAACCTGCTTTGCTGACCACATCCCAGAAGGGAATGCACACTTAGGGTGATTTTGTTGGAGGCATGTATGACGTAATAAGTACTTTACGTCTCCATTTGCAGAAAGAGTACTTCACTTGCCTTGGTATATCTTGGACATTAAGAATCTAACAAATTATTTGGGATGGATTTTTTTTTTCTAAGCATTAAGTTTTCACAAAAAATGTCACGCTGACTTGCGCACAATTCATTACCACGAGCACGCAACCCACAAAGCCACAATGTGGTGAAAACAGCACAGCCAGTGGCCTCTGGTCAGGCTATTCATAGTGACCTTGGTAGGTCATTAAAAATCTCCTCACCCCAACAGCGCCATTGAGGGCAAGCTGACATTCAGCCACGCAGCCCACGCGGCCACTTCCCAGCGTTTCTCAACGGCTCCTGCTAGCGAGGAAGCCTGCCTCTGGTGGCATTGGGAGAAGCCAAGCACCGCTGTTAATGTAGACGAAAGGGAAATTTCCATTTTACGCTCCGTGCCGGTATCACGGGTCCTAATTGTGGCTTCGGGCCACGAAACGGCAGTCTGGTTTGGGTTCCAAACGGAATTTGCGATCGCGAGGGCTCAAGGGCACGTTCCCGTGCGCGGGCCCCTCCCGTTCGCAGCTCGATTTAACCCACAAGGCAAGCAAGGGGGCCGTCTCGGGAAGTGAGGACACGGAGGCCGGACGAGCAAACCCCCTTTCCACGTCTGCGCAACGTGGAAGGAACGGTCGACTGCCGGAGTGCATCCTACAGACTTCACGGCGCCATTATCTCTGTAAACGGTGGAACGTTGCGCTTGCACGGGCGGCACGGTTGCACTCCTGCCACCGCGCCGATGCTCACCGTTTCCTGTCCACCCACCAGCAAAGTCCTTGCCATGAGCATGTGCGGCTAAGGCATAACAACAATAATGTTAACACATTACTTAATTTACCCAGGAAGGCCACGCTGAGTTAGTTCCAAGCACTATTTTTACCAGGAGGGTCCTGCAATAGGTTTTTGTTTCCTATGAAGATGTAATCAGCCAATCGATGAGCGTTGTCTGTAGAATGACGTGAGCCATGGAGCTTTTAACCTCTGCATGGTGCTGGTGATGTGTGCAGTGAGAGCTGAAGATACAACACACAATGTATACTTTTGCTCCGAGTGTGCATATTTTAAGCTTTGTGAAGGAACCTTCTTCCCTCTGAGTTTCTGAAGGCAATCTTGATGAGCCGCATTTCGTCTGAACGGTCATGGTCGTTGATGTAAGACAACTTGAGTAAAGAGAGGGAAGTTTTGCTTTACATGTAAGAAACACACGTACACACACACACAGCAGGGTGGTCGGGAAATAACTGCCCCCCTATTGTGAATAAGTCACTTGAAGGAATCTCAGAAGCTGCTGCGGGGTGCTCCACAACTGCTGGGTCAGGCGTTTGAAACCCCGGTACAACGGTGAAAGCAAAATTGAAATCATTTGGGGGGGGGTGGGGGGGGGGTGTGGTCGCGGCGGGGGGGGGGAAGACAAAAAGAAAATGTTAAACACAAAGGGCTGAGACAAAAGCATGCGTGGAGGCCCCTTTGCAAAGGGTTATATTGCAGTCATCTCCCGGGTAAGACGCAGGCACTCGGGTTAAAATCACCGCACGTGCGCACTCGACGCCGCGAGGATCACGGTAACTTCTCATGGGTGCAGAGCGTCGAACCGCAGCATCGGAACTCTTTGAGAGAGAGAGGGCGCAGCACGTCACCAAAAAAATTAAAGCTCATCTGGAGACGAGTGCGTCACAGCCGTGTACCTTGCCGACGTGGAGGGGATCGTTGCCCATGTACTCCTCCAGCACGAAGAACTGGTTCCACACCCAGCCACGCTTCGTCCTCGTGCGTCCCCTCTTGGCGTCGTGGGCCCTGCCGACGTGGCCCGGCCGGGCCCTGCGCGCCACCTCGCCCTCCCGAGGCTGAGCCACGGCGGAGGAGGCGGAGGAGGAGGTGGAGGAGGAGGTGGAGGAGGCGGAGGAGGAGGTGGAGGTGCCGCTTGGCGGGACTCCGGCGTCGCCGGCGGCGGACCCCGGCGCGACGAGCGAGGGAACCTTCCGGTCGCCGGCGTCCGATTTGAGTCCCGCTTTTGCGTCGACGTCGATTGCCGCCGCTTGGTGAACGCCGAGGAGCGTCAGGCAGAGCGCGAGGAGGAACGCCGTCGCTGCCATCGTTGAAGCGCGGAGGAAATAAAAAAAAGACTCGTGCGTGTGAAACAAATGCGTTCTCCGAGTGTGCTGCCCGTGCAAGCGGCGGAGGCTTCGACAAAGTGGCGTGCTTTTATTTATTTCTTCCCCTGTTCTGTTAGGTGATGTCCAACTGGCTTCAACTATGATGTTGTCAGCCAAAGATTCCCCTTTGCTCAGCACTTTGGAGAACTGCAACGACAACAAACGGAAAACAAGCAAAGAACAACAGAACACGTGTTAGTGCCCAACGGCCTTGGTCCAAGTTAATACGTTTTTTTGTAAATGTTTTCTACATGTTATTTAAATTGGTGCCGTGCCGGCGTACGCATCATCGATTTCACCAATTTATATCGATTCTTAAGGCTCATATTTTATCTATGCCCGTAACAATTCATTCATTATAATTTGCAGGCTATGTGCAAATGATATGACACGTTCAGGCTAATGGAGGTTCTACAAACTGAACAAACAGGATAGCAAAACATGAGAAACAATACAAATAAGATGGTGCAAACAAGACAACCAAGAATCCATACCTTTAATCGAATATCCACCACGAAATCGTGACAGTGCATTGATCGCTTTGCTGCGGCATGATATGACATCCCTAGCCGGTATGTACATCTGAATATACATATTCGGCATAGAAAGAGCCTCCTTCCTAATACAATGAGCCCGTGGGCATCCCACAGAGCCTGCCCGAAGCCCCGAGGTGCCAGAACCGCACGCGGTGCGGTTTCACTTCCGTTCGGTCCCACTCAGCGCAAGATGCGCGAAGCGAGGCCGACGGCCGTACGAGAGAGACTTTCACTTTTAAACAACTTGCATTGCCGCCAGCAGCGACAGCCACTAGAGGCGATTCCGATATGAAATACGCAGTCACCGGCAAAACAAATAAACAAACAAACGCTCTAAATCCACGCGCTGTGGCGCTAAATGCAACCGCGCACAACACGAGAGCGCGCCACCTCATGTCCACGCACGGACAGAGCTGTTGCGGTCATTAGGACGGTGGCGCGAAACGTCTGATCAACTTCCAATTGCCCACTCGTGCCGTGCACACTTGTAGACCGGTTCATACGCGCGCTTTGTTTTGTTCGTCAATCAACGGAAAGCAAGAACCGCGCGTCCATCCCACCGCTCGCCACAGCAGGGCCTTCACATACGCTATCCTTCCAAACGTTCCAGTGCGTGTTTAGTCGAATCTACACGCACAATGAATAAACGACGATCATTTTGAGGAAGCTCCACTTTCTGGGGGGGGGGGGGGGGGCGGGGGGGGTTCACTTCCTTAGCAAGAAATCTCCTTTTGAAGGGTTCAAGTTAATGTGATCACATGGAATAACTGTTTTTTCATAATGAGCTTAAACCATGGAAAACTCCGACAAGAGACGTTTAAACGTCCACTATATGTACAACTCTTTTTTAAGGTGGCACGAATTATTTCTCTTGCATCATGCAGCCTTAAAGCCCAAGACCCCCCCCCCACCTTTTTTTTTCATCTTGCAAGATGAAAACATTTTCTCTTAGAGTGCAAAGGCTGTATTCAATCACACGGTTTACCTTCGCGAAAATGTTTTAAGATCTATATACCCCATATGTGTGGCACATGGGGATGACAATATTGTCCTGTTTGAAGTACGAAATAATTAATAAAACATTGCGTGCACATCAAAGGCATCACGAGAAGAAGAAGTAGTAGAACACACCAAAACATAATTCAGCCCATTCTTAAACTTCAGGGGGCAAAACAAAGACGGTAACATAAAATATGGATTAAATCTGTGGCCTTATTCAAGACGAATGTTGCCATTAAACGGCACGGGTGGCACATGGCTGGATTTAATGCAGCGGCAAAAAAAAATTAAACATTTAAACACTCACCTTACTCAAAATGCGAGGTCATCGCAGCAAATATCGCTGGGATCATCCCACAGGCACCCGCAAGGCAAGCACTAGAATCTTCTCCCTCGTCTCTTTCTCCTCTCTCCTAGCTGCCTTCAAAGCTTTCATTTAAGAATTTGACCACCAACAAAAAAAGCGCAGCCTCTGGTTGACCCTCCGGCCCATTGTTTATTTATTGGTGGCGGGAGGACGGGGGGGGGGAGATGAAGACCAGAAACGGGCCACAATTACAAAACAAAATTAATAACCGTCTCGACAAGCTCTGCTTGTGTACACATGGAAAACAAAAATAAAAGTCGGGCTCGCCTGCTGTTTAATGCGGCCTCTAAAAAAAAATCCGCGAACTGCGGCGGACCGCGTAGCGGGGCAGAGAAAGAGAAGAGAAAGAGAGAGAGCTTCTCTGCTCCTGCTACTGCCGCTTTGCTGGTTGGGAACGCTCCAGCGCGCGTTCCAATGCTGCCTCAGCACCAGTCAGCTCTTCACGCCACAGCCTCCCTTCATCTCCTAATTGTGAGCAGTTGCCTTGACAACAGGTAATTAACTTTTTTCCCCTTCCTTCTTTGGCTCCCCACACCCACAGATTTTGTGTGTGTGTGTGTGACGGCTCCCGAGGGTAATTGATATCTGCCTCAGAGCGTTGTCTGCTCTCCCCCCCCCCCCGCTCGCTCGCTCGCGTCATCCTTTTCCCCTCCCCCCCCCCCCCCACTTGCTCTATTCGTCCTCTCACGTCGCGCTCTCTGCGCACAATGACAAAGATCCTCCATGTCGCTATAAAATAAAACAAAACAAAAAAACTGTCGGGGGCAAGTGCCGTTAGCGAGCACCTATTGAAACAGGCCCCGCAGCATTGTGGCAGGATAGTGGGGTCATCGACTGATCTTATTCACCTCTCGCACCAATCGGGTTGTTTATGCACCGGGTCAGGTGTTTATTTAAGGCTGAGTCGACCTTTTGGAGGCTCAGGATCAGTTCGGACACGTATCACTTGCCCACTGATGCGAGCCATGGGTGGGAATGAAACACAGGTCACCGAGTTGGCAACGTAGCGAGCTACCCACTGCGTCGCCTCGCCTCGCACACAAAGACAAAGACAGACTTCCCCGTGTAGCCGCCGCAGGCTGCTAGGGCAAGTGCTGTGAAATAGGAAGGCCGGCACGGGTGCAATGCAAATGTTCTTTTTTTTGTACACATCGCACAAGGTACTCATTTGAGGTTTACATATCTATCGCAGATGTTGGCCATGACCGGGTGAATCAAACTCAGGTGGCTGAGTTTGTACCGTGATGCGCTAACCACTAACACACACACACACAAAGACAAGACAAAGATCCCCCATATAGTCTGAACGGAGCTTTGGGGCAAGTGCTGTACGAAGGGTCGGCATGAAGGGATTTAGTGCAGCCCAGGCTGCTCAAAAGCATCGCTGCAGAGGATCACAATCTGACATTTTCTCAGAAGATGGTCATGCTTAAAAAAAATATACAAAATAAACAATTGTAGAGGATTTTTTTTAAACAAAAGAAATTACACGAAGCATTTTAGAAAACAAAAAAATAACACTAAACATGTTTCTGCCCTCATGTCACGAAAATAAGTTAAATATACATTTATCCGATTAATATTTACCAATATGTCCACATTTTACTTGTGCGATGGCCGATACGGCGCACGAGTGGGTGGGTGGCCAGCACCATGCCCGACCGCGCCATCGTCTGCCTAGTAGCGATGTTTGCACACCGCACCAGGTATTTATTTGAGGCTGAGTCGACCTAGGGGAGGCCCAGGACCAGTTCAGAATAACGTGACTGGCGTCGTCCGTGAGCGGGAAACGAACTCGGGTCGCCAGGTTCGTAGCGCAGCGCATTAACCGCTACACTCGGCTCCCCACATACACGCGCATATGTAAACAGATGCGCATCCATGCCTTTCTCATTTCCAAAACTACAAAGTGCACACACTTAAAAGCACAGATGCATGCATTCATGTATGCGAAACATTACATACACGCGTAGCCCAGATCAATCGGTTTATCAAGGCAGTTAATGTCAAAACTATCTAACACGTTCTGTTTGCTGATTACACCATTGTTATTATCATCACTCTTCGACTCACAACCATCGTCATCATTATTAATATGAGTATCAACACCACTGTCACCATCACCATCATTATCATCACCACCACCACCAACAATGTTCGGTATCATTGTTATTATCATCAAGACCACTAGCGGCATCATTATTGCCTCTATAACATCATACTTACTATGCGAGCAATACCAGTGTTGCTTGTCACCATCATCACATCACTATCGTCACCATCATCATCATTTATGTAATTTTTGTCATTGCCTTAATCACCATCACGATTATCATCAATCATTATTATCACAATTTATTATTATCACCTCCATCATCATCATTATCTTAGCCATAAACATATATCACAATTCACCTTAATCACCTAGCACCTTTATCATCATTACCATCATTATCACCATTGCGACTGCAATTATTAAGCCTTAACGAGACTGACCTGGTACATCTTTCTTCTTTGCTACTGGTAGAACCTTCAATTGGGGTGCATTTATAAGTAACAATTCCCATAGTATTTCAGGGAGGCCAATTATGTAAATGAGGGACATATATTGTATTTTAATCAGGCCATTAAGAAAACTACATGCATTTCGTTAAAGGAGCTCAATGCAGCACTGTTCCAGTGCATCGTAAGAATCGCTTTGAGTGAATTAAATTATTTTCGAGCGAATCTGTTTTTGGTCCCGAATTGGTCTTGCCACATGTTCGTCTGCCTGTCACTGTTAGCAGCTACACAGCATTGCATTGCTTCTCACGGAGGAAAATACTTAAGCATTCTCCAAAAGGTTCCGTCTTGTAAATACATGACAAGCAGTTAGTTAAACGGCATGCATGTGTTGTAACTATGAGATGGACTGTAATTAATTTTGTTTGGAAAACAAAGCGATATATTTTACTGCACGTTGCATGAATGATTTTGGACCTTTCACGTTTGCACCTTTATTTTAGACTAGTTGATCCAACAATTATGCACACAATTGGATCCCAGGCCACCCATGTTGACAGGTTTGGCATCTGTTAGTCATTAAATGATGTTTTTAGGCCTGACCTGGCAATAAAGAGCAATTCATTCAGTCTTTGTTTCATGCAATGATTCATTCATTTGCATGACAAAGAGAGAGAGACTCCCCTGAGCTGTAAAGGATTTTTTTTAACAGTCCTTGTTGAAACGGCTACATGTATTGGTAA